ATATGCACGCCAGCCACATTCACTGCAGTACTGTGATCACAGATTTACACCATGAATGGTCGCCGGTTACTCCTGCCTCACGGATACCACGTGGGCAGTCATGCGTCGCTCAGTAAAGGTAATGGTCAGAGGTCTAGTTAGGAAGAGAGAGTGTGGCCCGTGGTGCACCCGTTTCACAGTCGGTGTCACCACCACTTCCTCTTCCCCAAGGTATTTCTACCATCCTCATCTCGTATACCCCCAGTGTATCACTGAACCATTCGCAGCACGTTACAACGGCGCTAACACGCTCATTTACACATATATTTCATTCACGCATGCAATAATGATGCTTACAAATGGCACACAGCCCACATTGCATTCAAATACACGGCACTAGGCCCACATTCATTTCACATTACACGGCACACAGCCAATATTCATCTATATTACACGGCCCTTGGGCCTACATTTGTTCACAATATACGGCATATAGCCTTCATTTATTCACAACAACATTATTTCACCAATCAAAGGCAATCCATCACACACAATCATCCACACGGGGTCTAACTATTCCAACACACATCACATTACACACTAATTTCCATCAAACACAAAATTCCTACTCTCTATCTCAGCCACATTGCATTAATCAACAAAATACACAAGAATTATAAAGCATTGAGATAGGGTAGAGTCCCCCCTTACCTCGGATTGACGTCCCACACACTAAATCCACCAAGAAGTGCTTCCCCTCACGGATTTCGTCCTAAACACATAGAGAAATTCCATGAGAACCCAGGGAAACCACGAAAACAGAGAAAAGGGGTGAAAAACCAAAACTCTAACCATTAAAACTCACCTCCAAGCGTTTCCCATACAGATTTAACCTTCAATCTATCTCCCCGAACGACTTTGAAGGCAATTTAATCGGTGAAAAATGGTTTGGGAATGAGAGAATCTAAGGAATTTTGAAGGGAGAGGGAGAAATTACTCTCCCTGAACCCTAACCCCCTTTAAATCTTTTTCTGGTCATGACACTCTTGCTACAACAAAAAAACCAGATAAAACTGCACTCTGGTTTCTGCAGAATCTTGCTACAGCAAGACTCTCTCACTACAGCGAGACTGCACCCAGAAATGCACCCCAAACTGTCGCTTTTTTGCTACAGCAAGACGTCTCTCACTACAATGAGAAGGTGACAGTTTCAGTCCTTATCCCAGGGCCCTCTCGTTACAGCGAGAATCCTCTCACTTCAGCGAGAACAGCCCAATTATACACCCTGCATTTAGGCACTTAGCCCATTTCAGCCCAACCAGTCATGCATACACACACACACACACACACACACACACACATATATATATATATATATATATATATATATTCACAACATATATCTGAAAATACACACATGAATGTACATTTAGATTTATATAAATAATAATAATTAATACTACAAAATTAGGGGCGTTACAAAGAGGAGGAGTGATGATGCTAGGAGGGAGAAAGGGAGGGAGTGCTGGCTTTCCATGGACCATCTGAGAAAACCACTTAAGCAAGTATAGAGCCATGTAGGCAACCACGTAAGTGCTGAGCTGGCTTTCCGTCAGCCAGCTCTGCACTTAACAGAAGGGAGGTTAACGGTATGGGTCATTTCCTAATTTTCTACTTTAGAAAGACCACTTCCTAACAAAAATATTTGTAGGGATTAATCACAAAAACGCCTATATTTAAAGGGACCAAATACATAATTAAGCTTATTTTATATATAGTATTTTTATTTGTAAATTTATCTTTTCATTAGATATTTAATTTAACAATGTATAATATGAAATAATAATTTTGTAACTATAAATTTTTTAGTTTGAAAGTAAATTTTAAAGTTTAAAGTACATATCAAACTATAGATTATTTTAAACTAATTAATAAACTAATTTAAATATATAAATTTATCTTTTTATCAGAAATTTAACTGAACATGTAATATAAACTACTATCTTTTGTAAATGTAGTTTTTTTTTAATTCAAAGTACATTTTAGTATTTGAAGTACAAATTAAAATATAATTCTATATATTGTGTTTAATAAAATAATGTAAATTAATATCACTCAAATTTGAGTATAACTTAAAGTAAATATATAATTTTATTTTCAATTAAAATGTAACTTAAGAAATTAATAGATATTTTTTTTACTACTTAATTATTTTTGTTCATTATATACAATTTGATGATTCATTTTGCAATATCTTTTGAGATATTTAGAAACAATTTTGTTCTTTCATTTAAAACTTTTAGAACTTGAAAAAAAGAATTTTTCAATTTTTTTCTTTTTTTTGAGTTCTTTAAAAATAGGATCTCAAAAAGAAAATCGATTTTTTGGAGAATAAAAAATATTTTACTTTCAAATTTTACATAATATTAAAAGTATTTATACAATATTGCAATAAAAATAGTTCAATCTTCTAAATCTTCCATTGTTGTCTTTTGTTCACTATTTTCTGTTTCATTTGGAAATGAACTATGGGCATTACTATGAGTTAATGGGCTTTACGAGTCAGTCCTAATTTTGGCCCTTTAATTAAAATAGATAATAATCTAATTATTACCCTTAATTGAATTAATTACCTTTTAACCTGATTGAGAGGGTATTCAGCTATTTAGGCCGAAGGGGTACTCGGTTTCCTTTTTCTATAAGTAGGACCGAGTAGTGCCTTATCCAATACACTATTATTATTACATTAACAAATAATTATTTAAAATTATTTCATATTTTAAAATTAATTTACGTCTTTATTTTAATTAGAGAATAATTATAAAAATTTATTCATGTATATATTGGTGTTAATATTATAAATTGCGATGATATTTGCTTATTTATTTATTAATATAATTCAATTATATACTTATAGAGTTTATCATAACTAATTTTATAATTAATATTTTATCATACAAATCATAAATTAAAATTATGCTTACTTATTTATTAATAATTTTTTTAAAATTATAGGTGATAAATCAAATTAAATCATTAAATAAGAGCTTATATATCCCGTAGAATTCTTAAATACTTTAAATTTTAATGGATTTCCTCTCCATTGCTTGCAACTTAAAGAAGGAATGTCAATTATGCTGCCTAGGAATATTAATCCTACATTAGGAATGTGCAATAGAACATGACTTCTTATCAAGGATAATCATTAAATTATATTAGATTATATTTACCAAAACCTATATTTAATCATAGTCAATTATATGTTGCATACAAAAGAAATAAAAATACTTATTATTAAAGAAGATAACAAATATATAGAATATACAAAAAATATTATATATAAAAAAGTATTTCATAATCTTCCTTAGTGTAATTATATTTAATAAAATAATTATTTTACCATATTTATATATTTTTATATTTAAATTATATTATATATTTTTAAATAAATTAATTTAATAAAAATAAAACAAATTCGTGCAACGCACAAACATATTTACTAGTGATAACTATGCAACTGACTTGTATAGTATATTGCAATAACCATTATTAAATGAACTAATACATAACTCTCATTTTTGTAGGCAGATTATATTTTCCATTCAAATGTATTTTTACAAGAAAATTTCAATTTAAAAAAACAAACAAGACTATATTTTACAAAATTCCATCTAGCATCATCGAAAACAAATTTGGGTAGTATAAATGTCCCCTCTCCCCAACATGCAAGAAGATAAAACTCAAGACACAAACCAAAAAGGAAAAAATAACTTCAAAAAATTACCCATCAAAGCAGAGTAAAAATGTTATAACCCACAAGAAGAGTCAATCACTTGACATAAATTAAGACTTTTATTTAAGGACCATGAAAAGAAAAAAGAAAAGAAAAGAAAAAGATTGCATACTACACATACTATACTTTTTTATAAACTTCCTAGAGCATTCAAGTGAGAATTTGGAAATGTTGAAATGTCCTTGCATGGACATTTTTAAATGAAAAATGACTCATAAGTTTTATTTCTACATTTATCAAGAAAGTTTTAAACTATTTTCAAATCATCTCTATTATACATTGTCACCCAAAGAGTTTAGAACAAACTTAAGAAAACAAATAAAATAGATTGAATGACAAAAGTAAAGAGAAAAAAAAATTCATTTGAAAATAAAACATACAAAAAAGGATGGTATATTTTATTTTTGACCATGTTCCATATGCTCCTAATAAAATATCACCATTGTAGTGTTTTTCAACTTCAACACACAATGCATAGAGAAGAACGAGGCGTGAGATAAGATTGAATGAGGTGATAAAAATAGGAATAATCCTTGAACCACTCATATATTTTTTTTTTTCATAAACCTCTCATGCTTGAAATCATGAAAAACTTTAAAACTTTAATTAATAACTACCTGTTTCAAGAATTAAGGTATACGAAACTACTCTATTTTTCATTTTTAGTTTTTACTCTTCAAATTTAGAATCCAAAACTCCAATATCAATGTAAGTTATATTTCATCATCTTTTAAAAATTTAATAAAAAATCAATAATAAAGGAAAAAATATTCAAAAATTTGAGAAAAAGAAAAAAGAGAAGTATAGCTATGAAAGATTCTTGTTATTTTTTGAAAGACTGTTTTATCATAAGATAAATGTTGAAGGACATTTTTATAATAAAAATATATTATAATAAAAATAAATTATAAATTAATTAAGCCAATCATATTATGCCACGTAAAGAAGGCATATAAGACTCCCTCAAATATGAAGGCACTAGAGCAAGCACTAAAATTGAATGTAATTTATCCCCTTCTTACCTCAAGATATGTTCGGGTTTTCTCTTTAGATATGGGAAAAAGAAAATTAAAATACTACAATATGAGATTTTTTTAAAATTGCAAAAATATAAAAAAAAATTCAAAAATAGTTAAACCAAAATTAGGTGAGTTTGGGTAATTGAATATTTTTTTATTTTTTCAAAAATTGCCATTGACTCAAACCAAATCAGTGTCATAGATAAACGATGAGAATGATTCCTTCCAATTTCACCAACCCACTGCACTCTCTCTTCAAAAGCACAATCACAATCCTTTGAAGAAAGGGTTCAGAAATGGGTTTATACTCGAGCATGATGGACGTGATTACCTCGTACACGGGTCTTTCTCCCGCTGCGTTTTTCACCATCCTCGCTATGATGATTGTCGTTTACAGAACCGTTAGTGGAATGTTTGTGTCCCCCGAAGACTACAACAAACCCCCAGTCGTTTCGGCCCGTACTGATCCTCGGTTCGTCGATTCCGAACCGGCGCGCGAACCGGTCCAATTGGGCCAAGTCACGGACCGGGAATTGCGATCCTATAATGGTTCCGACCCTAACAAACCGCTCTTAATGGCAATCAAAGGCCAGATCTATGACGTGTCCTCTGGCAGGTACTCCGGTTTTCTCTTTTCTGTTTGGTTGGTGAGAAAGTGAGGGAAAATGTGCGTTTTCTTTTCTGTTGCTGTGATGTGTGTGTTTGTTGCATCAGGTTGGAAAGTTTTCTGTGAAAAGTTTCTCTTGTGATATTTGAATGTGGTTGTAACGTTTCTTGAGGGCAAAAAGGTGTTGCTGATGCTGTGGTGAAATTTTGAATTTAAAGATGTGTGTATGGTTGTGAGTTTTCAAGAGTACTTAGTGAACTGTAGTATTTTTCTATATTTAGTAACTTCCTCTTTATGTTAAATTCAAATTAGAAAAAAAAAAAAAAATTAATCTTGCAAAGATGAGTATTGCTATTTTAAGGAAGAGTTTGTATTCCAGGAGGACTGGAAAACTTTTCTACACAGATTGTGAGTGGACAAAGTGAATGAAGAGAGTAGTTAATCTTAGACAAGTACTAAGAATACACTCTTTTATTTATTCATTAAAATTTATTTGAAACTATAAAAGCATGAATGAAATTTATTAAATAGTGCGCTTGAAAGAATGTATTAGAAAGTGTTTTGTTAACTTTTTTTAATTAATTTTACTTATAACCCCTGCACAAAGTGAAATATATACAGAGAACATATATCAAGTGAGATGACCTTTTTATTTGAGAATGAGAAGGGTAAACATTCACTATATAATCTTATCGTGAATAGTTAAGATTAAAATAGGAAAGTTGGTGTTTCTTTAGATGAATTTTTTAATGTTCACACAATAAAAAATTAATAAATAATATGTTTTTATTGAAAATTATGATATTTAATGTTATCAATGTGTTAGATCATTTGATTTTCAATAAAACTTACTATTTATTAACCTTTTTGTTATGTGTTCCTAGGGACACATTAGAAAATTTATTTTAAAAAAATATTTTTTAAATGATCACGTGACTTTAAGTAACTTGTAATCTTGAACATTTCTATAAGTTAAATGAAAGATTACAAACTACTTCAAGTTAAATGAAATGAGAGAGCAAAATTGGTTGTACTTAAATTTATTTTTAACTTTCTATTTAAGAGCATGCTCTCAGTACAGAGTATCAAGTGAGAGGATAAGAGGTGAAGTGAATTATCTGTTACGGGCCCGGTATTAAGAGGACTTCGTTTGGGATGTGCAAATAAAGTTCCGCATTGACTAAAATTGAGAAAGATTAAAGGCATATAAGTATGTTAGATCTCTATTAGTACGAAGCCTTTTGGATAGTGTCCAAAAACAAAACAATGAGAACTTAGTTCCAAAGTGAACAATATCATACTAGTGTGAAGATGTACTAAAAAGTCCATACTTGTTTTAACATTATCAATATTATCTTGATCATCTACATGGTCAATGCTCAAGAATAACTGCTCAAACTCTTATTCGATTGTTGAGATACTCATAGCCTTATACATCTGAACTTGCATTAAAATGATGATTTAGCTTCTTATTCTGCTGTCTATGTTTGTCATACTTTTGTGGATGATTTCTTGGTGGATGATTTATTGATTGAGAGGTTGAAGCACCTGTTTTGAGTTGAATTCACTCTGCTTTTGCCAAATTTTATTGTTTGACAGTAAAAGCTAACAAGATAGTTACTTGTTATCTTGTGATGCATTTCACTGACCTCTTGAAACCTTTGGTTGCTTAGTATGAGTTATAAAATTGTCTGTCTCCTTCAGTCATTTCATTTTTCCCCTAACAAGCTGTCATTGACATACTTTACTTGTTTTTGCATATACAGGAATTTTTATGGTCCCGGAGGACCTTATGCAATGTTTGCAGGAAAGGAATGTAGCAGAGCCCTTGCACTTCTGTCTTTTAAACCAGAAGATATTAATGGGAACATCGAAGGTTTGGATGAGTCAGAGCTTGCAATTTTAGAGGATTGGGAATACAAATTCATAGAAAAGTATCCAAAGATTGGCCAGCTTGTTTCAGAACAAAGTACTCATCAAAATGAGCTCAAAGAACGTCAAGACAATATGGACCTTAATGAATGCAAAGAGGAAACTAATTAGTGACCATTGTATTGTTGTATAGGGATTTAGCTTCTTGAAAGTGATGAGAAGTGTAAAGTGAGAAAGTAAGAGTATATCTGTCATTGATGTGAAATTAATTATGTTTACAAAATACTTGAATTCAAATTAAGGGTGGATAGATTCTCACTTTCCACTTTTGACTTTAGAAGAGTAAAATCCGTCGTTGTATAGGTTGTGTATAACCGAGGGATTGTTGTACCATAAAAGGGCTACTGATTGTTCTGAAGTATTGCTTGGTAATTATTATAAACACAGGATCACGCTATTTAATTAAAATGCATAAAATATTTTGTGATTGAATCAAAGACAACTATTTTAGTTCCAAATAATGCTGGTAGTTGCCCACGGCGGATGATGGCAATTTTGTTACTTGTCAATTTTTTTTCTTGTTTTGCAATATATATATATATATATAGGGATAGGGAATCAATAGGCGTTAAAGGCTTATTAATTAGTCAGCTTTTGTTTACAAATATCTTATTTGTTGTAAATATTTGAAAAGTACAATATCGACAATTTTTAACAATAATTATACTACTTTAACTACCTTAACATTCATCTTCTATACATATTTTATAAATTTTAAACAATATTTTAATATGACATGACAATTAATCATAACAAAAATATTAAACATTTTTAAAAAATAATTCATTAAGCTTGTCAAATAGATATTTATAATATAGCAACAAGTAATTCTTCTTAGTGTTGATATATCTAAAAATATAAAAGAAACTATAATCATTTTATTCAATAAAAAATAGAATATAGTTATTTTTAGTAAAATAAATATATTATCACAAAAAGAGATTATGTAACACCTTAATTTAATTTTTTAAATAAATGAATTTCACAAAATCGAGAATAATAAAAATTTTCATTCAAATGGTTCCTAAAGCACAGTTAAATAAAATATTTTGAAATAGAGATAGATTACAAATTTGTATCTGATTGTTATAGGACTTAATTAATACATCAAATTTTCAACCTCTTTTAGGAGCTAGCATATATGGAGGACAAGATTCAATCCCATTGAACCATACAAATATTAAGATAAATAGTATATTTATTTGTACCTTAATATGCTAACTTTCACTTTAGTGGAATTCCAACAGTACCATATAACCTTAGAAAATTCAATAACATTCACCTTAATTGAACTATCTAAATTTATTTTCTTAATAACCTTGTCAGCCTTATTTGAGCTTATTCTTGGTTCAAAAAGAGCAATAAAGTTAAGATTATGAATTTTAATTAGATCATTTATTAATCTATGAAAATTCTTACTCCAAGCACCCTACAATTCCAAAAAAGGTAGTTCATAAAACTAATGATTACTATTTTTAGCATCCTTAAGATGCTGGTGAATACCTATATTACCATTCAATAAAAAAATTATTAGGAGAGTTAATTTGATTTATATGTTTTGAATTATTAAGATCCATCCATAAAGGTACATTAGGTGATTTATCAGTGGGTATGTGTTTTAAAAGACCTTGATCCCTCCATAGGATTCTAGAATTAAGGTGTATCAAGTTGTAGATGGAATTTCCTAAATTAAGGTCACTCTGAATTATGTTTTGAAAATGTTTGATTGATAAAAGAGTGTCCTGACTTTCCTATTTTTCCAAGCTTTTAGGATTTTCCTGTTCAAAGCAGGACATGGCTACATTTCCAGAAGATTAGTGAATTTCTTTCTCACTACCCCTTTTACAAGATTTAGGTGCAACTTTAGATTTAGCAGATCTTTTGACAAATTCACTTATCTTAGGGCTATTAAATACTTTAGGGGGCGGCTTATGGATCATAGGGTCCTTGGGGTGGATATCCTTATTATTAAGGGACTTAAGTTTCCTAATATTTATAGCAGTTAGGGTTTGATTCAAATCTTGTTTAGAGCTATCAAGAACATTAAACCTAGATCTTGGCTAAACATATCTTTTCTTACCCTGATTCATAAAAAGATGTTAAGACAAATTTTTAACATGTGGCAAGCGAACCAAGTCTATTGTAGTAAAGATGAAATAAGGGTTGTCGAACCACAAGAACTTGTAAGATAATAATAGGTTCTAATATCCTATTTAAAGCTTGAAAAAATAACTATATATATTATATATATACACATTTTGATATTCATATTTTTGAAACATAAATTGAGTAAAATATAACAATGTAAATAAAATTAAGAAAGAACAAGAGAGAGAGATTGTTGAGATTGAATTCATCTATCTAGCTCAATTGATTCCTAATGTCATATAAATATGATTCTATTAATCAATACTATTGAGTTCTCCTAAGCTACTCTAAATTAATCCCTTGCATTTAGAGTTACTAAGGATTATAATCCAATAATGATTCCTCAATTTATTAAATCATGATCCTTGTATTAAGTTCAAGAACTTACCAACTAATAACTTCAAATCTATTCCTAGCATTTAGAGCTATTAGGTGATATGATTCAAATTAGACTTAGAAAACATTTTCCAATTGCAATCAAAGTCAAAAATTAAAAGATGAGTGATCAATTCATCTAAAGCATTAAGAACAGAATCACAATCACTAACACTGAATAATAAGTATCATAAATATAATAAAAAAGGAATACAAGAGTTTGATGTATTACATTTAATCTCAACAGAAAAGTGGTTTAGCTACTCATGGTGATGAGTGTTAATCCCAAAATACAAAAGAGAATGGGGTAGAAGAACTAAAATGATGAATCTTCCTCTTCTCCAGCTGAAAACCCAGTTTCGCGATCTCAGTTTTTGTTTTTCTCTTTTTTCTTTTTCTCTCTGATGCCTCTGTTCTGTCTCTATTTTCTATTTATACTATCTGGAGAGAGAGTGAACCAGTCAGTGCTTGGGGAACGACTGAGCGGTTGAGATAATTCTTCATGGTTAAGAAACTTAAGTCGTTGAGCACCTGGACAAGCATTGGGCGCTTTGAAGGCTGAGACCTCTATCCTCTCTAGAACAAATCTGCTCGGCACCTGTATAACAACTGAGCGGTTGAGACATGCTTCCAGACCTTGCTCTCTGGCTTTAGTCCACTTAGCGCTTCTCCACATGCTGAGTAGTTGAAGGACTTCAAATCTTCTAAAAATCTAAGTTCTGCAAGGTCAAAATAAAATAAATTGATTCCAAAATCCAACAACTCTCAACAAAATATGGTATTTACATATCTTTTTAATTTCTTAAAAAAAAGGTTAAAAACAAAACTTCCATTTAAATCAAGCTCTTAAGTGTCTAAATACTTATCAGAATTTATACAAAATAGACACTTAACAAAGGACCAAATGATTGGAAAAAATTTGGTTTCTTCCTAAAAGATTTTTTTGCAAGCATACAAGGACCAAATTGATCATTTTCTTTACTAAGAATATTGTCTATGTCAATCATTAACATATCTTTATCAGCTTTAGGGTTATTGATTAATATTCCTTTAGTTACCCCTGAAAAACTAACTTGGTTATCCTTTTTCTCTAAGTTAATTTTATTAAGCCTAGAGTTTTCACTACATTGCTCTTGCTGATGCCCATACTTACCATAGCTAAAACATATAAGATGTAATCCTTCATACTCTATTTTGAACTCTTGCCCCAGGACTCTGAAGACAGGGACTAGTTTTTTCCTTAAGTCTATTTCTATACACATCTTAGCAAATTTTCCACTAGCTAATAATGAGGTATGAGGGTCAAGTTTTAGCATTGACCCCAGACAGGTACTCACTTGCCACAAAAATTTACTATTATAGAATTCAAGGGGAAAGTCAAGTGTTCTAACCCACATTGCTATCTTTCTAAGGTTATAGTCCTTAGATCTATACAGAGGTGGAGACCTCTGAATAGGAGGTAGTGGTCTAGTATCAACCACAGTTCTTCCAAAAGAGCATGTTTATAATCCTCTATACTATCAAACTTAACAAGAAAGAAGTTATTATTAAGGTTAAGAATTTTTAAGGAGCCATTTTTCTCTGAATATTACCGAATTTTCGGTTTAAAAAAGCTAAAGCTCATTGATTTGCCTATGAGTTTAACTATACGTGTAAATTTTCAAAGGGAACACCACTTTTCATAATCCTCTAGAGGGACCTTTAGATTGAGACAAAGATTTTGAAGTTTATCAGTGTTTTCATCACTATCCTCAACCTTAGAAGCAATATTCAAGTCATTCAAGATAGATTTAACGATTTCTTCATCATCTAAAACTAGATCTAACTCTTTTAACTCTAAAACCTTATCTTTATGTGAAAAAGATTTAGAAAAAAGATGTTTAGAAGACACTTGATACGCTTCTGTATCTATAGCTCACTTTTCCCTTTGCATGAGTAATATTTTCACCTCCATTAACGCCCTTTCACTTGTTTTTACCTTCTTGCACTACTAGAGAAGCGGTATATACAGACAAATTTTACAGACAGATTAAAATCCTTCTGTAACACAGACGAAATTACAGACGGATTTGTGGATTATTATTATTTTTTTATTTTCTGAAAAATCCGTATGTAAATCCGTCTATAATACAAACGGATTTTGATCCGTCTGTAAAATCTGTCTGTAATTTGCCTGCCATTTGGCCCAAAATTGTATAGACAGAAATTATAGACGAATTTTTTTGTCTGTAATTTGAAAATAGGAGGGAATTTTATAGTAGAAGTTACAGACAGATTTATCCGTCTGTAAATATGGCCGTTTTTAACTGACCTTTCAGGTGACAAATTACAGACGGATTTTTCCATCTGTAAATGGACTTGACGAATTTACAGACAGAAAAATACGTCTGTAATTTGCCACCTAAAACGCACCGTTTTATTAAACCCTTACAAATAGATTTTTTTCATCTGTAATGACAGAAACCCATAACGCCGCCTCCCCCTTCCCTTTCCTTATTTTTTCATAACTCTCTCTCTCTCTCGCCCCTCTTTCTCTCACTCTCTTTAGGAGCTCAGTATTTTGGCCTTTGCGAGTGATTGAAGCATCCATTTAAAATTTTTTTTACATCATTGTATTCCTGGTATAATACTCTAACTTTTAATTGGTTTAGTTTTTTAATTTTTTATGTTTTTTAGAGACTTAAAATTTCTAAGATAGAGTTGTAGGATTGAAGATTGTATGACTGGGGAGAGGGCGTAGAGGTCCTTCTCCGAACCTGATTATTGTGTGTTGTGGGATTGTTTGTGTTTGTGGAGTTTGTAGAATATGCATGTTATGGAGTTACAAGGGAGTGTGCTCTAGAACAGTTTAAGATTGTGATGTGTTTGTGTTTGATGTATCGATTAATATTGTTATATAATATATTAGTTATATGTGGTGAAATTTTGATTTTTGTAAAAAAGTGGTAAACAAATGTAAGGAAATTGACATGTATTAGGAGAGATTCTGCCAAAATTTATATTAAAAATTTGTGTAATGTATAATAGAAGGTTGATACCACATTGTATATTTGTATTAGGTTTATATAGTTCTTGAGGAAGATGTTTATCAGAAATCGTCAGTGGATGTATGATAGGTTGCACTCGAGTCGGGGGGAATAAAACTTGAATTCTTTGAGGGTGTAGATGAATTCATACGTGTCTATTGTAATTCGCAGCAATTCATCATCAACCAAAAAGTTAGATGTCCATGTTCTAAGTGCAAGTATAGAAAGTTTTTGGATATTGATTCAATTAGATATGATTTGTATAAGTTTGGATTTAAACATGATTATTGGATATGGACTGAGCATGGGGAAGTAGTTAATTTAAAAAATCAAATAGGTAATTCAAATATATTGCAATCAGGTGAGGATATAGGTAATGTAAGTTGGGAAGAAACTAATAGTCGTTATCAAGAAATGATTTATGATGTTGTTGGTCCTTAATTTGGAATTTTTCGTGATTTTGAAGCTGAACAAGAACCTAATGGAGAGACTGCAAAGTTTTATAATGTTTTAGAAGCAGCAAACAAGCCTTTATAGGATGGGTGTGTGCATTCAGAGTTATCTTTAGCAGTAAAAATGTTAAGCATAAAGTCAGAAGGCAATCAAAGTCAGAGTTTATTTGATCAATGAGCTACATTAATTAGTGAGTTTAGTCTCCAACCTGACTCCATCCCAAAGGACTTTTACCAAGCAAAAAAATTAGTTTCCAAACTTGGATTAAAAGAAGTCAAAATTGATTGTTGTTTGAAAGGCTGCATGCTGTGTTACTCATCGTCCTGATCGTGACAACACTTCTTCACCCAGGGCTCTCACTTTGACCTCCACACCAGCTGTAGTGCAGACTTCCCAAGTTAGGGGATAGGAGGAAATTATCATGGTGCCCAATCCAGGGTGTATTGCTCCTCCCCCTCAAGTACAACGAGTTTCACACTCTGCACCGCCTATTACACAGGTCACACAGTCACCTACTACACAGGGGACAGGAGAGGGATCCACTGCTGTCCCAACTGGAAGTGGGCAGTAGTCATCACAGACCCAGGCATCATTGATATCGTTACAAACATTAAGATGAGATGGGTCCACTTGGTAAGTTTCCTTCAAAATATGCCAAACATTGCTTATTTTATGTGAATGTTAGTCATGATGTTTTATTTTATTGTGTTATCAGTTGGATACCACCACAGAAAGGTCTCCACTAGGTCACAAATACGATTAAGAAGATGTTTGATGCGCCTTACACAAGTTTTGCAAAGGCGCCGAAGGATACAAAGATGGAATGGTTGAAAGATTGAAAGGTAATAATAGTGTATTGATTTTAACTAAGTGTAATTACATATAACTGTCTGTACCTTCTCTAATGAAATTGTGTTTTTGTAGAGCAACTTCTCCATTTCTCCCAGGACGAAAAAATGATTTTCAAGGCCTGGAAGAGTCGCACTGCAAAGCGACTAAGACAAATATACACTGAGACTTGTCAGGACCCTTCTACTGTTAATTGGATAACACCCAACTTTCTTCATGCCTTGCAGGAGTATTGGGGTATGGATGAGTTCAAAAATTTCTTTGTAAAGAACAAGCAAACAAGGCATCTAATAAGGGGGTCACTGCATAGTGGTGGGTCTACGACTTTGGCTGGCACTAAGGCGAACTTGGTATGTGATTTTATAATTCAATTTACTCTATCTATAATTTCATATTTGAGATTGTCATTTATTTTGAATTGCAGGAGAAGTCGTTGAAGAGGCCACCTACGACTGGAGAGTTGTTTAAGGATACACATACTCGCACAGGCAGGACAAAAACCAATGGGTTGATACACGATCTCAGGCTACATATGTAAGTCATTAATATATTGATACTATATGTTATTATTAGTGATTTATTAAATAGTTCTCCAAAATAATATCTACTTATCTGAACTAAACTGTAGGATGATTATGTTCAAAGGCTTGATGAGACATCTTTTCAGGATTCAGAGTCAGTAGATGAGGATGCTATGTGGTCACAGACAGTGGGTGGCCTTTATAAAGGTCACATTTATGGCATGGGGGGCCGCTTTGTAGACTTCATGTCCCCTGCATCTGTCACTAGAGATACCCCTTCTCTTGCACCTGAGGAAGTTGAGAACATGATCCGTACTCAGGTTCGAAGAACTCCAGAAGTAGAATGAGGAGATGTGGAAGAGTAAGGAAAGTGCATAGAAGAAGAAGTGGGCAAAGAAAATGGAGAAGAAAATAGAGAAGAAGGTGGCCTTGAGAATGCAAAGAGAGGTCTAGCAGCAGATGAAGCAACAACATATACATATGCAGCAGATGCATGTTTATTTTGAGCTCATGAGAGCAAGCAGCTCCACACCTCTTCCTCCTCCTCCACCAGCTCCAGCACCACCGGTTTTCACCTCCATGCATCATTCATCTTCCGACTCTTCGTCTACTGATGATGATCATACAAATTATTCATGATGAAGACTTATATTTTATTTTTAAATGTATTTATTTGGATACTTTTGTCTTCCTTTATAATAACATTTAAATTTTAAATTTTATAAATTATTTTTAAATGTTTAGATGCCCAATTTATAGTTGTTATTATGTTTATAAATTGTGATAATCAGAAACAGTCAAAAATAACTATCTATATAAACAAAAAATACTAATAATAGTAAAATATATTACAGACGGATTACAGATAGATGTTTTCATCTGTAATTTACAGACAGATTGTGAAATCCGTCTGTAATTCCTTACCAACGACGATATCACAGATAATTTATGTCCGTCTCTAAATTCGTCTATAATTTTAAAAACCGTCTGTAATGGTTTAAAAACCCGTCTGTAAACCCGTCTATATATACATACTTTTTAGTAGTGTTGGACTTTTTGATCCACGAGATCCATCTCTTCTATGGGTCGCTTCTTAGTTTCATGTCTCTACATGTCCGTTGAATCCACTTGAGAAGTGAAAAAAAATGTATAATCTCCTCTTCAAAAGTGCTTCAGATTTCCTTCAGCACCTAGAACCCTCATGACTACCTCAAAGCAACTAGGGCGATAAACCCTAGCAGCACCTCTTGAACCCCATTTTCTTGAAATATGGTGTAAGTTCTTGAAGCTCTCTAAGAGTATTACATAAAAAGATAGTTCATTTAATATAACTTTAAAATCTTTTGTATTAGCTAATAAAAAAGTACATTTAATTTCAACATAAACACAAATATATTAACTAATATATTCATCAACCTTACCAACATCTATTCATTACACTAATTAAATTTATTTAAATTAAAATAAACTACCAAGTATAATAACATTTAAAATTAAACTTAATACAATATAAGACTAAATACTAAGTTCAAAATTCTTCTAACTTTCTTTGCAAATTTCATTTTCACATATCCATCTTCTATTTTATAGACAATTTTTTTTTAGACAATAGAATGTTATTATACTACTTTAACAAGAGAATAACTACATATGTTAATATCCCTAGAGTTTCGTCTCTGTCACAGGCAAAATTAATAAAATTATGTCACGTGTCATAATCTTACAATTTTATATTTATTATAGACAAAATTAACTAAATCAATGTATGATAATTTTGTTTAAGGTATGAACAAAACTAGTATTTAATTTTGTCAATGTGTTTGACAAAATTTTTGACATGTGTTTGATTTTGAATGTTTTATTTTTAAATATTTTATTTTTATCCAAAATGAAACAAGCTCTAATTTTGACAAATATCATTTTCTTGGAATTTTTATTTTGGGATGAAATTAGTAAATAAAAAATAAAAAATAGAATTTTGTCTATAATAAATATGAAAGAGACGTATGTAAAAAAATTCAAATAGAGAAATTCTTTTTTATTATGCTAATTTGTTTTTTAAAAACTAAAATTATAGTCATTTTAAAAAAAAATCATTAATGATATAATTGATTTAACCTGTTTAAAAATTAAACAATAACAAAACAATATATAACAAAAATTATTAAAAAATGTTGTTAATAATTTTTTTGACAATAAACTTTAAAACAATATTATTTCGATAAATGATTTTCAAAATTGCTGTATTGTGATACAAAACCCCTGCTTAAAGCTAGAGACATGATTATTGAAAATTTAACTAAAATTTTGAGAAATTAAAAATAAAAAAATTAATTAAATTATCAAAAGTAAAAAGTTTAACTTCGGAGGCCCAAAGCCTTTGAATTCATGTGCGGAAGAAAGAAGCGGCCACAGCACTGCCACGACTAGTGTTGCTGCGCGCCATGAATATGAATAATACCCTCCTCTTCCGATTCCCCAATTTCAAACCCAAACAGAAACAGAGAAAAACCCTAGAAAATTAAAATAAGCTAAAAGAAACGAACGAAATGGATCATTACAAGGTTCTTGGATTGCACAGAACCGCTACCAAGGAAGAAATCAAAGCAGCGTTTAAGAAACTAGCGTTTCAATTCCACCCAGACAAACATTCCCAATCGCCAAAGGCCATGAGGGACAACGCCACCCTCCGATTCAAGCAAGTCTCTGAGGCCTACGAGGTCCTCATGGACGATGGCAAGCGCGCCGACTACAATTTCCGGTGCCGTTCCGGCGCCGGCCCCGGCACCGGCGGTGGAAACAACTATTATTCGCAGTATAGCTACGGATATGGTAGGAGTGAAAGCAGCTACCAATATAAACCTAGGTCTGGGGTCAAGGCTGGTGGCTTCGCGTCCAAGTTTGAACTCGCTATTCGGATTTTGACGGCGCGATCTTCTCTTCTCAATCTCAGCTTCGCAGCGTAATGCACTTTCCTTTTTTCTTCAGATTGTGGGTGTTAATTTCTGGCAAAATTGTCCCCTCTTGGACCATTGATCTTGAGGATGATAGATCATTCAAATCCCACAGGGGATGTGACATTAGCACTATGTCAAATTTACTTCTACCTCTCTCTGTTATCATCATTAAACTTTATTTATGAATAACTAGCAAGTTTTAAGCTCCTTTTAGTTTAAAAATATCTTTCTGATAAGCTGATGGGGGATTTTCATCCAGAGCTATATTAGGTGGAATTGTTGTCATCAATGCAAGCGGAGAATCCTTATGGAACATGCAAAATTCTGGGGTAAGATTTTGATTCTCTTTCTTGCTTTTTTTCCCCTTAATACTCCAATTTTGATGTATCACATCCCAGATTAATTATTGCCTTTATTTCATTTCCTGTTCAGATTAATTATGAAAGTTCATCTCCTGTAACATGTAATTGGTCATTTTTCTTCCTCTTCCTCACTTTGTTCTTTTCTTTTTTACACTTTTTTTATTATGGTCTGCATTAATTTCTTATGCGATGCCTCGTCTACCTTCTTCTGACATAGTGGAACCTTCCTCATTGACAGACTTACTCTGATCCTTGCGATCAATCTTCTTTCCTGCTGTGTTGCTGTAGCTCTTTAATTTGAAAATGTTTCATTAAATACTCCCATATGCCATGTATAACACCTTGCATTACTCGCTCTTCATCTCTGTATCCTGACAACATGATGACAGGTAGGTCCATTTCAAGTCCCACTAGTTCAACGAGCTTAAATCTAGCATATTTACATCACGTCAAACATGTTTCTGTTTTTCCTTAACATTTCTAATGCCTTAATTCACTGAGTAATTGTAGTACTGCCATTTGAGAAGCAGTTTCTCCAACACTGAGAAGTTTGGTAGATGTCAACAGCCAGAACATGAATACCCGCCAGAAAACATTATACAGGCCATATCAAACTTGCCAAATGGTTCCCCGCAATTAACTTGAGCCAGAACCAAATACTCAAACAAAAAACCAAGCACTTATCATAGATCACATGAATCACACAGTAAAAGGATCCAAAATTTTAACAACACAAACCTTCATTTCAGTGTCCCTTTTACCCAAACCACAAACAATGTTGAGAAGAACTAAAAGGAGAGAGAAGAAATTTAAGAAAAGGCCTGAAGAGGGAAGGTGGAACTGGAGGTTAATGAAAGCTGTACTATTGGACAGACACTGCTAGTATTTTGAGCTGCTAGCTCCCAGTCCTCAACTGCTCTTCTCTCCTTTTCTCCTTACATTTAACCCCCTTCTGCTTTATCAGAATGCCCCTCTCCAGTGCTGCCACCCATCTAGGCAGTCATCAGAAAATCCACTATGCATGTTCTTTTTTCCACCCTACCTGTGGCTTCATGAATCATTACTTCTGCTTTTCCATTTACTCCCAATCTTCTGTACTCCAGTAATAGAAAGGTACTTATCATCGCTCCTTTTCTTCGTGTTTGAAACATCCCCAAAACCAAAGGAAGAATCTTCTTCAAAAATCATTGTATTAAAATTCTCCTAGGTTGATGAGGGTGAAAAATTCCTGGACCAGTTTTAGTCATAAAATTGTATTGAAAATTCCTTAAATTTGTATACCCCTCTTGTTGCACCCATATAATGTTCATGGTGGAAGACCCTAATATATAACCATACATTATGTTTTTTGGGTTTTGACGTTTTGTTTAATCAAGTGAAACTGAAGTATGAGGCTTGGTTTGGCTAGGCCAATCTCAGGCCTGATTGAAAGTTACCAATTTAACTTCTGCATTTTCAGAAATATGTGCGGCTGATCTTGAAACTTTGCTTTGTCCATACAAGTTTCCTTTCCCTCAAACCCACAGCAGACCAACACAACTAGCTCCATTTATTATGCGTCATGACCTTTTCATGTATCAACTATGCTTAGCCCAGAGGCTTCATGAAAACTTGATATTAAGTTTCACATGTAATTGTGTAAAAATCTTGGATGTTTTATACCCAATTTATCTACTGTTTTACGAAAAAAAGTTAATATGATGGTAACAAAAAAGACATCATAGTATGTTGCTGATATTTAGTTGAAAAAAGATAAAAAAAAACTTGTAGTAAATATGACATGAGCATTGCTAGACGATATGGACTTTTATAAATTTTTTTTGTGCATGAATCAGTGACGAACTTGAGTGGATATTGTCATTCGATTAAGTAATGGGGTAGAAAATAAAAGAAAAGTCGGAGATTGGTAGAAATCATTCTAACTGTTTTGTGTATATCTTTGTTTGGTACATATTTTGTGTACATCATTTTCATAAAAAGCTTTCTCACTAGTTCATAATTCGCATATAACATACATTTCGTTTCTTGTCTTGATGACATGGTAGAAAAAAAGCTTCATGTATTATTTTTAGTTTTTTTTTTTTTTCTGGTTACCGCATTGGAAGTCTTGCTTGTGTAGTTACTTGTATAAAACAAGTATTTGGTAATTGATTCTTCGAAAACTTTCTGTATGATATTTTTTTTAAGCTTCTGTTAACTTTATGTACTTAAATTTTATTTTGCACTCAGAAATCTTTTGAAGAAGCCATGAAGTCCATTGAGAAGGCTAAAGCTTATAAAGAAGATAACATGCAGGAACGCCCTTGATTGAATTTGTCTGTCGCTGTTCACCTGCCACCTGTGAAAGCTTCGTCACGTTTTATAAATAATGAATGATGAAGCTTTGATTTTTTGGGGTTGGTTGCAAAAGAGATTGAGAAGAGGGATTGTTCTTCTGTTTATTCCTTTTGTTGTCTCCTGTAATTTTCTTATTTAACTACAGTCTCGTCATTGCTCTGCAATTTACAATGTAAGTACTTGTTCAATGTACGGTCGATACTTGTACATGAAAAATGCAAAAAACAAATGCTTGTAAATAGATTAAAGTACTACTTATATAGGGTCTCAGACTTAAGCGTGAGGTCTTATGTGGATGCGTAATGGGAAATTTACTAAACGACCACAACTTATGCGGACAGGAAAGAGAGTGGTAAGTTGGCATTTTCTTTAATTTAAGGAAACTAAATAAAAAAAAAATAAAGCCCGCATTTATTGTTCATTGCTTGCTAGTTCATTGATTGATAAATTATTGATGATATTATCACTTTATCCTACAATTTTTTTTGTAAATTTTTATTTGAATACAAATTATTACTAAATTATTTTATTTTTACCACCTTTGAAAGCTAAACTTACTAATTTAACAATAGTGCTTACCAATTTTTTTACAAGTATAGTGATTTATGACCTTGAAAAGATATTACAATATTAAAGATAAATTTTAGGACAAAAATGACAACAAACCTCTTATAACTAAGATAGTACGAAATTCACCAAATCTTTATAATAATTATTCAATTTTTAGAGTTATTTGATCAGATACAACTTTAACAACATCAATTATTATTATTATTATTATTATCTTTCAAAACAAATGTCACAAACTCAGAGTATTATTTATCAAATTTTTTGAAGTACACTAATTTATGATCTTGAAGGAAAGTGACAATGTGGAAGATGTACAAACATGACAAGTATCAAATTAACGAGCAATTAATTGAATTTTAACTTCGTAAAATCAATAATAATAGGCTCCTAGATGAAAGCAAATAGATTAATACACTTTATTGAATAAAATAATGTTAAAAATACATTTTTAAACATAAATAAGGCACCTTATTTGAACATAATAAAATTTATAAAATTAACTAAATTTTAAGAGTATATAATTATTTAGAAGTTTGAAGTTAACCACATAATATGGTACGCACAAAATTAACTAAATTTTTATAATAGTTAATCCATTTTAAATGTTAGTTATTCAGACTAATAAGTATAGGTGAACTATTTTAGAAATGTAGTTAAACATATCTTATATTGTTAATGTAGTATTTAGTTAAATAACTTTAAAAAATGGTTAGTTGATATAATGATTTAGTTAATTTTGTACCACCATAGTCATAAAAAAGATTGTAAAACAATTAAAATATTTTTTAATTTTAGTTACCTAGATAAATAAGTTTGAGTGAACTACTATGAGAATGTAGCTAAACACTGTTAATGTAATATTTGGTCAATTAACTTTAAAATATACTTATTTGCTATAAATATTTGGCTAAATTTGTATAATCATAGTTATAAAAGATTTATAGAACCATTAACATGTTTTTAACTTTAAAATATACTTATTTGCTATAAATATTTGGCTAAATTTGTATCATCATAGTTATAAAAGATTTATAGAACCATTAACATGTTTTTAACGTTAGTTAGTTACCCAAATAAGTATAGGTGAAGTACTATGGGAGTATTTGGTTAACTAACTTTAAAAAGTGGTTAATTACTATAAAAATTTGGTTAAATTTCTATACCACCATGGTTATAAAAAGATTTGTAGAACAATTGACATGGTTTTAATCTTAGTTATCCAAATAAATAGGTATGGATGAACCCCTATAAAATTGTAGTTAAACACTATTTGACGTTTTTAGCATAGTATTTAGTTAATTAATTTTAAAAAGTAATCAATTGTTATAATGATTTGTTAATTTTATGCCACCATAATTATAAAAGATTTGTAGAATAATTGACGTGATTTAAATGTTAATTACTCAGATAATAAATATGAATGAATTACTATAAAAATGTAGTTACATACTATTTGATGTTGTTAATGTAGTATATGATTAACTAGCTTTTAAAAGTGATTGATTATTATAAATTTGATTAACTAATGTAACACCACATTTACAAAAGAATTGTTATCATTTTTATGTCTCATAATTCATCATTAATCTTGTCATATTCTTCTAAGCTTATTAATAATTTACTTAAAAAATCTTGATAAGCAACATTGTTAAATTAGTAACTTTTGCTTTGAAAGGTGATAAAAAAATAGAAATTTTATTAACCTACAGTCAAATATTGTTTGAAATTATTATTGTAGTATTTGGTTACATTTATGCTACGATAGTTATAAGATATTTATTGCCTTTTTTATGTTTTAAAATTCATCTTAACTTTGTCAAATTTCTTCAGGTTAAAAAATCACTGTATTTAGAAAAGAATTGTTAAACATTGCTCTTAAGTTAGTAAGTTTAGATTTCAAAGGAAGTAAAAAAATTTATAAATAATCAGTGCAATTTGTGTTCAAATAAAAATTTACAAACAATTTTGTAAAGTTAGTAAATTGTACTTTCAAAGTTGGTAACAAAATCAACAATTTAATAACTAACTAATCAACTAGTAATGGAAAAAAAGGTTTTGATTTTGGTTCTTTATTGATTGAAGGTTATGAGTTTATGAAAAGAGATGTTTGATTGAAAGAAGAGTATAAAATAACATATTTTATAACAAGAAAGATAATGTAATATTTGTATCTCATAGGAAAATGAGAGTGCATTTTACTCCTATAAATATTTTGGATTAATTTAAAATTATTCTTGTATGTTATATCTTTTTATATAAATTTTATATTTTATATAAAAATAAGTTTTAATTAAAATATTTAAAAAAGATAATAAAATATTTGATTACTTTTGATTTTAAGTTTTATTTAAATTCATTTAAAATAATATATTTTTATGATTGAATCGGATATCTTTCGATCCAAAATCTATACAATTTAATTCAAGAACCCACTTAAATATATTATGAATATACTCCAATTATATTTTTAATATAATAATTTTTAATAATATTTTTAGTTGTTTATTTCTTAAAAATGTCACTCTCAAAGATCCATGATACTCTGGACCAGCCCCAGTTAGACCAAAATTTACCAACTCCAAGTGCCCCCCAAATAATACTAATTTTCTTCTCAAAAGAAGTAAAAAATTCCCTTCACTTCACCGTCCCCATCGAATTGATCTTCAATTCAATCCTTTTCTTCAGGAAAGAAAAACCTCTTTAACTTGAAATTGAGATTGAGTCATATCACATGAACACTTATCTGTCCCTGCCATAGTTCTTTCTTTGTAGCCTCCAACATGGTACTCACCTTCACCTCTTACTCCTTACTCCTATGTTCTTGTGCATAAAATTTCACCTTTTTTTCTTATTTTTTTAATTTTCTAAGGACAAAACCACTGGTGCTGACAAGTACAACGTTGAAACCGCCGAAATCTTGGCAAACGAGGCTCAGGTTTGTACCCATTTTCCATATTCAAATTTTTTGCATACCCTTTTGCTCATTCACCTTGTTTCTCTTCCTTTTAGCATTTGCCAGTTGCAGAGGCCACACCCATATACGAGCAGCTTCTGCTATTGTTTCCAACAGCCGTGAGTGTTCTTTTGTTTGGGAAATTTTGGAAGCAATGTGTTTTTTATTGTGTTTTGTGATGAATTGTTTCTGTGAGAGTGTGTTCTTGGAAGCTTCTATGTTGTTATGTATGAGACTTACTTTTTGTTGTGCTTATTTGTGTCCAGGCCAAGTTTTGGAAGCAATATGTGGAGGCACATCTGATTGTGAATAATGATGATGCTACCAAACAGATTTTTAGTCGGTGCTTGTTGAATTGTCTTCAGATTCCTCTCTGGTATGATGTTTTATTACTTCTTTTTACTCTCTCTTTGGGATGTTTTGTTTCAAAGGTTATAATCTTGTGTGAGACCCTTATGTTTTGGTTCATTCGATCAATAATGTGTAGAGTGGCATCGGATTAAACTATTTATTCCTTTAGTGTTATTCAACCCTATGCTAATAAGAAATAATGTGTAGTTTCTTGTATTTTTTTATAAAATAGTATAGTTTTACTTTTCGTTGGTTGCCTATTAGGACGGTTTTTAGATTTAACTTGGAAACTGGATCTGGGAGCACGAACAGAGAGGTTTCTGGAAAGCAGATGGGCTAGCCTACAAGCCTACTGCTTGTTGTGTAGCTGAAAATATGTTTGACCAAACAAAATGAGTAAACTTGGTTTAATTGGTTTGCTTACTGAATGGGCCTGTTTCAATTGTTATTCATAAACTTCTTTGAAGTATCAGACAATTTAAAGATAACAGCAGAGATAATTAAATCATAGAAAATCTTGTAAAATACTCCTTTTCTTTGGCAGTTGCTCTGAAGTTCTTTTTTCTTGATTGAAAACATGTGTTATATTTATATTATGTGTCCCATCTTCTCCATCTCCATTATGTTTGATTTTGAATTTGTATAAGATTGTTTATCTTGTGAAAATGACTAAGTAAACTACTTATTTGATCTTTCTTATGGTATGGACAACAATGTTTTTGCTTTTGTTTCAAACTTTCATCTTGTTTCTTATCTTTGCTTTGTAGGCGGTGTTACATTCGATTCATTAGAAAGGTAAATGATAAGAAGGGCATAGAGGGTCAAGAAGAAACAAGAAAAGCTTTTGATTTTATGCTCAATTATGTTGGTAAGTTGTTTCACTCTGTCCTGTTTGTATTGCCTTAGTTGTCATTGGATTGGAGTAGCATCTATTTAAAAGAAGATGATGGAAACTCTTGTGGCTAGGTCATGTGAGAAGAAAAGCAATAGACACTTTGGAGAGAAGAAGATTAAGATTGATAGGGGCCCTAGAGGGAAAAGTGGATGAATAGATAGGCCAATTAGATGGGTAGAGAAAAGACCTATAAAAAATGAGACAACAATAGAACTATATTGCTTTTGGTGGTTTCACTTAAAATATGATTTTGGATGGAGTTTGTTAGATATAAAACCATTTATGTCTTCACTCAATAGTTTATAGTTAGTTTGTAATTTGATATCAGAGCTTCTATGACCATGTGGTCTGGAGTTCAAGCCTTGTTGCTCCCATTCTTCTAAATAAAAGTTTGATTTCACCACAAGGTAGGGTCAGCTTGTGCATTGTTCATGCTTCAAGGCCAAAGGGATCTTGTGTGATATGGTATCAGAACTTCTACGACCGTGTATTCTAGACTCTAGAGTTTGATCCTTGTTACGTCCAATTTTCTAAATAAAAGCTATATTTCAGCACAAGGTAGGGTTGGCCTGTTAATTGGCCACACTTCAAGCCCAAGGAGGCCCTTATACTATGCAGACTTGCAGAGGAGTGTTAGATATGAAACCATTTATGTGCCTTGAACCAATATGTGCTTTTGGGATAAATAGAGGGAAAGGGAGCAGATGTGTGTTATATGTATGTATGAATGAATGTATCATATATATATATATATATATATATATATTGAAACTTATCTCTATTGATGTGCTAACAGGAGCAGACATAGCATCTGGTCCTGTGTGGATGGAATACATAGCCTTTCTAAAATCATTGCCGGTTAGTTTAGTTAATCTTTTATGTTTTGTGCAATCTTTGGTGCCTAAATTTGCTATGGTTTTTCATTTTTTGGGTTCAAATTCAATTGCAGGCTGCAAATCCTCAAGAAGAATCACATCGGATGACTGCTGTGAGGAAAGTCTATCAGAAGGCTATTGTTACTCCTACTCATCACATTGAACAACTTTGGAAGGACTATGAAAATTTTGAAAATTCTGTTAGTCGTCAGTTGGTAATATATTGATTTGAATTGATGCTTGATCTAATAATTTGTGTTCAACTATTTATGAGCCTGTAATTCTTCTGTGGTGTTTAGATAGTAAAATTCTTAGGGTATGCAATTTGATGATAAGGTGTTTTGCAGGCTAAAGGACTGATATCTGAGTATCAACCAAAATATAATAGTGCAAGGGCAGTTTACAGGGAGAGGAAGAAGTATGTTGATGAAATAGATTGGAATATGCTTGCTGTACCACCAACTGGATCCTACAAGGCAACTTTCTGTTCCTTTGCAAATTTTGCTTATCAGTGATAGTTGTTACTGGATATTTTCCAACATTAATGCATGAAACCAGGGATCACTAAAAAAAAATGTAATTCATTTAATGAAATGAAAGTATTGGAAAGGGGGCTCTACTATTTGAAATATTGATCAAATTGCAACTTGCTGTTCTTTTTATCTTGTGTTGCATGCTGGTACTGTTTTCATGGTCCTGTCTGCAGTCGTATTGGCTATATATGGGAGTTAAAGTAGATGATGTAAATTTTGATAGTTAATTGGATGTTTAATTAGTTTGGAGAGGTTGGTTACACTGATTAAGCTGTATGCTTGACGTAAATAGAATGTGCACTTTTATCTTCTTCCATATCTGCCATGGAGATGGTAGCATATTTTGTGTGGAGCTTTACGCTTTAATTACTTATCATGTGGCATTAACCAAGTGAACATGGGAGCCAGTTTGGATAAAATTTTCAATAAATACTTATAGCTAGCCAAAGAAAATAAAATGAATCAAGGAAGTAAAATAAATGAAATTTCTCCTGTAACTAAAAATTAACTCATGCATCTCAACTTTTTCAGAGACTTCCTTAGCATAAAATTAACATAAGTTGAGGCTCATAAGTTGATATTGACTCTTGTGGGAAGTTTGATTCATTTTACCTTTGTAATTCTTTTTGTTTTCTTCTCTTTTAAATACTTGTTGAGGACTTTATCCCAATTGACTCATAATTGCTTTCTTGCTTTCTTTTTTCAAAATCTCTTAGGTATAAAAAAAAGATGAAGAAGCTATTTTGGCCTCAAAATAAGCTAATCTAAACATGCACCAACTATCCCCAAAACTTACTTCTGTTAGTTATAGTCAGATGGATGATTTTGTACTTTTATATCTCTAATACACATCCTCACATAAGAGCCCAGGGCTTGAATTGTGGCCAATTTACATATCCATCTTGTGCTGAAATTTGGTTTTATTTCAAAGAATTTGCATGTTAAGGATTGTGCTCTAGATTTCTTGGTCATAAATGCTTGAGATCATGCCATGAACAAACTATCCTAAAAACTTAAGGTGTTAGGTGAAGGAACATAAGTGATTTTATACTTTCTATATGTCTAACATCAGGATAAGTTTTTTTATTGGTTACTTCTGACAGGAAGAAATGCAGTGGATGGCATGGAAGAGACTTTTATCTTTTGAAAAGTAAGAAGTTTGTTTTCCTTTTTCTGCTAATTGCTTGTATGTTACATGTGCATTTTCCCTAATAATATCCCAACTCCTTTGAGAAACCAGATTTAAAATAATTTGAGTGCAAAAATCAACTGTCTGAAATGTTGTGTCATAGACATACTCTCCTGAAAGCTTAAGCTTTTAAGTTTCTGTCTATCAATGATTTTTGCCTCTCTTAACACAGCTGTTCATGCAAGACTCTTTGGGTTTAAATTATGGACAATACACATTCATTTTATATATGCTTAAATTTAATATAGCCATGAGGAATGGGGAGACAAGAATTGAACTCTTGACCCTTGGACATAAAGGCTCTAATACCATGCCAAAGCGAAGACCCATTCATTGAAAAAGGCTAAGGAACTGTTCAGGAAATCTTTTCTGTTTTCATTTTCGGTTTTCACTTTTAATTACAAAACTGTCACCTTGTTTTCATTTTGTAAGAGTACTACTCATGTGTGCTTATTCTGTTAGAGTAGTTACATATAGCCTTCTGTTAGTTATGAATTTTCAGTCTGTTAGGTTTTCAGTCAAATGATATTGACATCTGTACTCAATACCCCTCTCTATATAAGGGAGTCTACCTATTGTAATCTTTGGGTTATCAATAATGACAATTCATACTTTCTTCTTTCTCTGTCTCTATGATACTTTAACTTGGTATCTAGAGCTTCCTGGTCCAATGGAGAATCCTGCATCTCAAAACCCTAACACATTTTGTTTCCTGTTTTCAATGATTTGTATGGGAATTAGTATAAACAATAAAATGTTTTCACTGTTCCTTGTACAAATCTTTGAAACAGGAAACGGAATGAAAACGGGTGACAATTTTGTAATTAAAACTGAAAACAAAAAACTATTTTCTGAAACCAAATAGGCGTGCCATTAAATGGGGCTTGAATGGCTTTATACTCAACTATATGGTTTTCAGTCTTTCATATATGTATTCTTAATTAATGAAAGATTCTAAATAAATCTATTTAGAAAACAGAGACGTAAAACCATTCTTGAGACTCCATGTAACAACTTAAGCTTTTGAGAGGATTTGTCTTTGACCAAATTTATCATTTAGTAAAACAAAATTTATCATTTTGAAATGACTGTTGGATGTGGTGCCTCTGATCATTATTTCCTTACATCCTCTTCCTGATTTATGTGACTATGTTTAGTTAATATTTTCAATTTTATTTATTCATCCCACATTTCAGAGGAAATCCACAGAGAATTGATACTGTGTCCTCCAACAAACGAATTGTATTTACTTATGAGCAGGTACAATGAAATATATTTTATTTTATTATTTTTTATCCCTTTAATATTATCAATTTCTCATTAATGTGGAAAAAACCAAGTTTGTTTTAAACACAATGGCTTGCCATATTTTTAATATGTACTAGATTCATTAAGAAAATATGAAGGGAGTATTATGTTATGAAGCATCATTTTCATTGAATTGAAATGATAGGTAGTCTATTCATCTAAAGAAAAATATTTATCTTGTTTAGATGTGGAATTAATAAACATTGTTAACTACATGTTTAAGTTTGATGATATTTATTTGTTTCATTATCTATGGAATTTCTTACTGCATTGTGCTGGTATTCAGTGTCTGATGTATATGTACCATTATCCTGATATATGGTATGACTATGCTACATGGCATGCAAAAGGTGGTTCGATAGATGCTGCAATCAAAGTATTTCAAAGGTCTCTGAAGGCTCTTCCTGGTTAGTAGCACTTTTCCTTCCTTAATTTCTGCTGAATTTTCAGATATTGTTGTTAGTGCTTGCATATCTTTTTGTATTCTCAACATTTTCTTGAGTCTTGCCTATTATTCAATAGCAATTTCTAAGTTGTGATACACATACCCCAGGTCCAGTTATGATAATGAAAATTGTCAGCTGTAGTATGAAATTATAGTGTATGACACTCAGAGCTCTTTTTGTGCTGGATATCATTTTATTGTGAATAGTTGTTGGGTTAATTAATCTTGATCTCTGTTGTAGACTTTATCCTAATGCATAATTGTTTCCCTATGATAGTGCATACTATCTCTCTTAATTATTCATTAATTATCTTACTTGACTTTATTATGCTTGCTTTTGTCTTTCATCTCTTTGATCTCAGTCATTTCATTAATGAACAGATTCAGAAATGCTACGATATGCTTATGCAGAATTAGAGGAGTCTCGTGGAGCAATTCAGGTATGAAACGTCACATAGATGTGTTGCAAAAAGTGATAGTTAATTAGTTATTAAAGTCATTGAGTATTACGGAAGTTTATGCTTCATCGGAAATGTTGTAGTCATTGTATGTAGTTCAATTCTTTATTGTTGTTATTTGTAAATGTAAGATGTATTTATTCTTTTACATTTCATTTATTTAAATATTAAGGATGCTGAGTACACCTGCTCAAGTAATTCACTTAGCCTTTCCTAACTATTTCTGGTTCTCATGTATACGCTTCAATGTTTCTTGTTTTTCTTGGTTTTTAAATCTTTAATAGTTTTTATTTCCTTGTTTTTTTGTTTTATATCAGGCTGCAAAGAAAATATATGAAAGCCTTTTGGGAGATGGTGTCAGTGCAACAGCACTTGCCCATATTCAAGTATGTGAAATAGTTTGCTATTGTTTTTAGTGCTCAGTAGTGGTATTGGATACTTGGTACATGGATATATATGTTCATCAATTGTCTTCTGATATTTTGTTTTGGAAAGCATTGAACAAGTCTTAAGGTAAAGCTGCATGTCATGATACAAAGTTTAAATGTCTTGTTCAAATACTTGGTCTGATTCTCTGAAAGTTTATAGTTGTCCATATGTTTATCTCTTGTATTTGCTGGTGGATAAAAGTTTTATCCTCATAGATGTTCATTCATGGAAGTCATATGTGTGTATAAATGTAAATTTTGTTTTTCTCTGCCATATTTTATTTTATTGATAATTCTAAGTGATTTGCGCAATTCTTTTTAATGCTTGTATATAGATTTTCTTGCTAAAGATGCGACATCTGTTTCATGCTACAGTTCATTCGTTTTCTAAGAAGAACTGAAGGTGTTGAAGCTGCTAGGAAGTACTTTCTGGATGCTCGCAAATCCCCAATCTGTTCATATCATGTTTATGTTGCTTATGCTACTATGGCATTTTGTCTTGACAAGGATCCAAAGGTCCTACTATTTCCTCTTTTTGCATGTATTTTAGTAGTCAGGTAGTGGGATTGTATATTACTACAAAATCATGTGTGTGATACTATTGTTCTGCTGGATGTATAGCTGGAATATTTTTTGGCATTTGGAATGATTGAAAATGTTGATCTTCGTTTATGGAAGTGTTAGTGTTTGTCGTAGGTATGTTCACATTTATCTAACTCAGCCTTTTGTTGTTAATACAACTGGGTCTCAGAATAAAGTAATTATCTTATAATAAGGAAACATTGCCAGGGATTACCTTACTTGCCCTTTATATCCTTCATGGGATTTTACAAAATAACATTGATGTCCTTGGAGTTATATATTTTGAAGTTTCAACTTCTAGCTAATAAACTGTGACTCAACACTTCCTGCATAACAATAAATATGATTGCTTTATTTGATTATCCATGCAGATGGCTCATAATGTGTTTGAAGCAGGACTAAAACGCTTTATGCACGAGCCTGTTTATATTCTTGAGTGAGTTTTACTTTCCTTTTAGCTCGGATTAGTATAAATTAAGAGATCATTAATCAAAGTCTCCCTTCTCTCAATTTCCTCTCTCTATACTTAAAACCCATAATTTCAGCAACAATAAAATTGAGTTGCTCAAACTGGGATGGGGATATTTACACCATCAAAAGATATAGATGTATCCACTCTTGTAATTCATCATGCAAGATATATATATATATATATTTACACATGATTTTTATTTCATGTTTGTTCTATATTGTGATTGACCTTACTGAAATATGTAGGCTGGTATTGGTTGCCTTATCTACTCAAATTTAAGAAGACTTTGAGATCCCTGTGCATCTTAATAATTTATGTTGTCATTGCACTCCTTCAGGAAATTTTTTATTTTTTCTCTTAATTTCCTGTTTTGGAGGATATATTATCTTCTTGCTAATTGTTCTTTTCCTCATTTCTCTTAAAGATAATTCTTTTGTTTCTAAGGGTGTTTTTGGTTAACACAACTTAATTAAATGCCTATTTGATAAGCTCTTATCTTATTAAATGAGGGATTATACCAAAGTTTGACCATGAAAGAAACTTACTGGAATAAGTTAAAAAGAGTTTACTTTGATAAGCTATACCAGGAAGTTTATTGAAATAAGCTAAAAGGAGCTTATGAGAGTCAAACTATTTTCATGTTACTCATAAGCTCTTCCAAATTCCCCTTAAAAAGAATACTGATTGACTATTAAGAATTTTTTCATGATATTTCAGATATGCTGATTTCTTGACCCGTTTGAATGATGACCAAAATATACGTGCTTTATTTGAGAGGGCATTAAGTTCACTTCCACCTGAGGAATCAGTTGAGGTAGGGTTCACTTCCTTTTTCCTTGTTCTTTTAAAAGAAATTTTGGCCTCATAGTAGTTAGTTAACAACATGTAGGTTATGTTTCATTTTAGATCAGGTACATGATGCAAGTTTTTAAACAACATATTAAACTAGTATGTGCACACCAATATATGTTTCACTTAATAAAAAATCTTCCATGTATACACTAGATACCAAAGTCATATTTGTGCCACTTACAATAATAATTGCTTGAATGCTACTAACTGTTTGTCACTTCATTTATTCCTTATGGCAAAATAATCATTAGAGGTGACTTGGGGCTTTTCCCCTTTTTTCCTGAAACATAGCTACACATAAAATAGGTTAAAATTTCCCCTTTTGCTTTTAGTATGTTTCTTTTACAACAACAACCAAGTTTTATCCCACTAGGTGAGGTTGGTTCCATGGATCTACAACGCCATTGAGTTCAATCAAAAACTAAATTTTCAAAAATCTGATTAATCAAAAAGTCTCTTTTAATAACATCATCTAAGGTTCTTTTGGGTCTTCCTTGACTCTTTTTTATTGGATTAAAAGTCATGTAATCCACTCCATTCATGGTGTCTCCAAAGGTCTTCTTTGTACGTGACCAAACCAACTTATACAGTTTTCAATCATCTTTTTCACTATAGATGCTACTTAAATATTTTCATGTATACAATCATTTCTTATCCTATTCTTTCTGAGAAAAAAAGTTCCAAATTTCATCCTAAGGAGTAGAAAGGAAAGTTAAAACTTTCTGTGGCAAACCGCCTTTTGGCAGTCTGTGTATCCTATGTGGTATGGTATGGAACTATGGATAAGTCTTTGTAAAATGTTTGGCAATTCTGTGGGTAGTGTTGTGAGGAATAAAATTCACATTGTATTCTAGGCTGTAGAAATGTATTTTAATTTGGAAATGGACATTTGTCTAAGATCAAGTGTTGAAATTATGGGGTTTTAGGTATTGAGGGAGAGAATAGATAGTTTGAATAATAATTTATTGAGTACTATAATAATTTATTGCCATTTGATGGGGTATTCATTAAACCTAGAGCACTCACCTTTATTTATACTAATCATAATTAATTAGGAAAAAAAAATCATGATAAGATAAGGAAATATGGCAACCAATCTTAAGATATGATGAGGGAAAAAGGAAACAAATAATAGAGGATAACCAAAGATATTCCAAAACATGATAAGATATTTTCACATACTACATCAGGATTGTTGAGAAAGAGAGAGAAACAGAGGCATAGAATGAATTACGTGTATTTCAACTACACAACAAAGAATATATTTATATTGATAATCATAAATACAAGATCAATTATGGAATATTTGATTGTCTAATTATCATAATTACAAAGATAAACTTTCCCTATTACTATAATTGCATATGATTACATGTATTTAACAAAGATTTTATTATATATTCTTCAGAAATTTCTTTTCAAAGTTGTTTTTGTTATGCATTGATATAATTGGTGCTGCTTGAAGAGATGAGCTTGGTGTTTACAACTACAGGACATAATTTTATAATGAGATATTTTAAGGAAAAATACAAAATGTCTAGTTATTGGGTATAAAACATTAAGCATTTGAATTTTAAATATTATAATTAATTTTGCACTGTTCATTTTTGAAACCTGTGATTTTTTATTTGATGAAGGAATTCATTAATAGAGAAAAGAAATACAAGGATCTAATCTGAACTGCCCTTAAAAAGAGAGAAAAAAAAAAAAACAAAAGTGAGGCTGGAAAAACAAACCAGTGAATATCAAATTGCCTTCTTAGTTTGCAATGCATGATGATTTCCCCATAGCTTTCTGCATATTTGAAGCTGTATCAATTTTATGTGTAGTTTATGTATGTATTGAACTGGAGAATGTTTAGTAGTCGTTTGCTGATATTCAATTTACATGGAACTATTCTCATCTGTAGGTCTGGAAAAAGTTCACCCAGTTTGAGCAAATTTATGGGGATCTTGCTAGCATGCTGAAGGTATTAGCTTCAAATTTGTTTCTGTACAGCATTTACCTTGCTATCTCTGTTTCATTCTGATGTGTTCTTGTTTCGGCTTATCAAATTGTTACTTTTTTGTGACCCCTAATTATTTGAAAGTTGAAACTAAAGCCTCAAGGGAAAATATTGGGATAAGATGATTTGTAGAATTTGTTGCCAGTTTTTTCATGGATTAGCAATTAGTTGACATTGATGGAATATAATATTGGTCAAACATCCCACTTTTGCGCCATTGCATTATGACTGCTTTAGTAAAGGGATGAAGATCATTTGAAAGAACAAAACTCAGTTTTCGTTCTACTTATTTCAAATCAATGCTCTATAAATGGAACTAACAAAAGTTCTTTTCCATTGTCTAACAAGATAGACTTTGTTTTTCCGCAACAATATCTAGAAATAAGATCTTGAGGGATGGAAGAAATTGCTATTAAAATAATGTCACTCATTATGGGTGAATTTTTTAAAATGGTTTTGGAAAGTTAATCTTGTCATTGCTTATGACAATATGTACTAAAAGAAGGTTGCTTATGACAGTAGAATGTACCAGACATAACAAGGCAGTAACCCACTTGATCATTTATCCTTGTATCATATATTTAGGTTGAGCAAAGAAGAAAAGAAGCACTTTCTGGAGCAGGTGAAGATGGAACAGCAGCATTAGAGAGTTCTTTGCAAGATGTTGTATCACGATACAGTTTCAAGGATTTGTGGCCATGCTCCTCTAATGAGCTTGATCATTTATCACGACAAGAGGTACTAGTCATATGTATATTTTTTTGAATAGATGCATAACATATCACATAATGCTTGTTGTCATGAACCAACTCCCATGAAGACTCATGAATGGTTTTATATCTACTATGGTTCATCAGGGATTTTTGAGCTTTAAGTTTATACAATAATATATTTGAAAATAGGGTCTAACTTTCTCCTAAAAGCTAGTTTGTAAGGTGAGGATTGCCTTAGAGTGTAACATCCTTTGTAATTTGAAAATTCTCCTTTACTATATATATAAATATAGATGAAATTTGATTGAAATATTAAAGGACAAAGATAGTTTTGGAGAGATTACATATATATGAATTTAGAAACGATAAAAGTTAGCAAAGTTTAAAACTTTTTATTTACATACGTCTCATTCATAATAGTAAAAAATAATTTCGCATTTAAGTTTATAATTAAAATAAAACTAACATTATAAATTTTAACATCTTTCCTAACTCATGTTACATATCTTAAGTTTACAATACAATCAATGTTGCTTTTTGGCAAATTACATCTTTTAACGAAAGCCAAATGTAAGTTGCAATTAAAATAGCTAACTACCAAATATTATAATTACACTTTAATTTATTATTTACAACAAAGTTTATCAAAATACTAAAAAATCTAAATAAAAATTTCATTATTATTATTACATTCATCAAAATAAATTAGATTTTATCAGAACATTTACTTTCCTTACAGTCCACTTTAAGTATGATCCTAGGACAGATCCATCTTCTTTTATCTCTTCATTACTTGAAAATATTTATAAGGGTGAGCATCTTCCGCTCTACTAAATTTTCATTTATATTTTTTTTAATCAAAGTAATATAGGAAATATTTTTTAGACTAAACCTTCATTTTGATCTTTGAGAGATTTTGAGTCTGACATTTTAGTCCTTGAGAAATTAAGAATGTCACATTAGTCCCTAACTTCTATCTTTGTCGTTCATTTTAGTCCCTGAATGTAGATTCCGTTAATAAATAGTGAGAGAAAGCTGACATATCACTTTAAGTGCTATGTTAGAAGCCCAATTGGCTCGAATGACGTCGTTTTGAGGAGTTCTGAAAGTGAACGTGACGAAGTGCTTGTAATTGGCAAAATTGACGTCGTTAGAAGAAATTGAACAAGTGTTTCTAATTGTCCAAACATTGTTGCATATTTCTCCTTTTGTCTAGGAGAAGAATCCTAAGATTTGCTCACCAAAATTGTGTTTGGCGTTGGAATATTTAGAAATTGACGTTGGTTATAATCATCCACGCATAGTGACATACCAATCTTAATATTAAAAGTTATTAGTATTGTTCCATTTTAATTTCTTCCTTCTTCTATGATGCCCTATCCTCTGCAACACCATTTATGTTCTCACACGCTTTTGGCACCTCCTCTGTCCTTTCCTCTGCTACCATGCTGCCTTCTCCGGCCTACAAGGCACTTCCATTACCTGAATTGACCAAAAACTGATTCAGTTCCATGAAAATGTTGTGTTTTTGGTGGGATATGCAAATGCCATGTAGCTTTAGGTGGAATGTGAACATGAACTTCATGATGAGGTATCGGGAGATGCCGCCATTGCCACCTTTGTCTTGCCCTAAGCCTCACAACTTCATTGATTCTCTCACCTATCCAATCATCCAAGTTCATAGCTTCATTGCTTATGGACTCGCTTGGTAGCTTTGGGCCTGAACCCATATTCAAATCAAGGTCATTGCATCTGAGCCTCTTCCTCCATCACAGCTTCAATCACCAAACTAGAAAGAAGCTTCCTTTATTACAAATTTCAAACAAATCTTGTTATAGGGAAGGGGAAAACAAGAAAGTTACAATTTTTTCATGCAAGAACAAAGTTTTATTACAAATCAAAGAAATCCAGTGTCGAGGGGGGGTTTTGTTGACAAAATTGAACAATTAGAATCGAAAATCTCCAAATTAGCAAAAACTCTAACTTCATCGTTACCAAAAACGAATCCAGATCCAATTACAAGCGTTTTGCCATGTTCTCTTTCAGAATTTCTCAAAATGATACTGTTTTAGCCAACTAAACTTCTAACATAGCACTTAACATAACATGTCAGTTTTCTGTTACTGTTTGTTAATGAAGTCTGCATTCAGAGACTAAAATGAATGATAGAGATGGAAGTCGGAGACTAACGTCACATTTTTAATCTCTTAAGGACCAAAATGCTTGACTCAAAATCTCTTGAGGACCAAAAAGAGGGTTTAGTCTATTTTCTAATACATTATGCATCAAAATAGAAATAATTCAGTTTTACAATATTAACCAAACAGACATCATCTATACATATCATTTAATACAATATGCACTGAGATAATACCAACTCATATATTATATTAATGAGTGTTATAGTAGATCAAATAGATTATCAATTACATCATTAGTACTTTCAAACATGCACTTGTTCATATCATTTTATGCATTCTCGCATCGAACAGTATGTCATAATATGTGCATTATAACCATATTAATTAATGCATTACAATACATGTATCATAATTACATCCGCGATGTATTACAATACCTATATTAAAATCACATCATTCCATCTGTTATGACTCACTTATTACAATTATACATCTCATAGTTTCACAATCATTGTCTCTGAGATCTCTTGAGGTCTTTTATAAGTATAGATAGCTTCTGGTTAGCCGTAGCAACACAGATATAATATGTACCGACCCGGCCTCTTTTAGCAAAGACATAGTCAGGAGTCTCGTCAAGAAATGAGCGTGTGGCCTGTGAATGTTTTCACTTTCAGCAATTCATGTGCACCCACCTACAAATAGCATTCACCACCTTATTTTCTTAAGATTTTCCAAATTTTTTCTAGACTCCATATCTCAAGTGTATTTTTGTAATTATCTATATATAGTTTCAGCATTTCTCATGACACTTACTTTCTCAACATTTCTCTTTTTAATTCAAATAACATAAACAACTTTAATTTCTCATACATACCCATTTATATCAGTACTCTATTAATTATTTTTTACTAATAAAACATTTTATCATTCGAGGGTTCTCAATCAAAATATATAAATAGGAGTTTGAGGTTTAGGATCAACTTCCCTTACCTAGAAACAAATCTTTGAGACTATGTCCTTTGTGAGATCTAGAGAGAAACGCAACATTATGATAGGAGATACAACTCAAGGATCGAGATTTTTTTTCTAGATATCACAAAAGAGAGTACTTTTAAGAAAAGAGAAAACAGAGAAATAGAACAGAGTTTGGAGAACTAAGCTTCGAGAAACATACTTGGGATCAGAAGGAATAAGCATTCAAGCTCAGATCTAGAATTCTACTGTGGGGATTATAAAAAATCCTTAGGCTTTCCAACTAAAATGATTAACATTTGGGGTGTGATTCTTCTAAGTTTCTTATCAATTGGTATTAGAGTTTTCCACCATGTCTCTTATATGCACTTATATACAAGGTGTATATTTATGCGCTTCATGTGAAGTGACCATTCTGTGTAAGATACCGGTTTTTGACAGGTTATCATCTTAGGCATCTTTCATGTTTCACCAGAGTGGGGAAGTGCATCTTAATATTGTTCAGTATTCTGAAACTTCTGGCTTATGGTGGCACTTGCAAATTGCCTACCAAGGGGAATTGCTGGTCAGAATTGAACCTAGGCTTTAAATGCTTTAATCCTGGCAAATTGAAACAAACAACCCCTGTTGTCCCCATTTCTCTACTCTACATTACTAATTCACATGATCATCATGAATCATTATATCTATTGAATCATAAGATTAAAAGGTAAAATGAAGAGTAACTTGAAATATATCATATCAATGATGTATAGTGTTCAATGTAATAGTTTTAAATTAGATATTCACAAAGAAACTTAATTATTTGTCACAAAAAAAAATCATATGCCATGAATAACTGTATGAAGTGAAGCCTCTATTTTACAAAATTGGAAACAGAGCTATGAAACAAACAGATAGTATATAATATGAATGAGTTAAAGTGTGAAGTCACTATTTCAGAAGAATGAATGAAAACAAAACATGGAATAACCAAATATTGTTTGTTCAGCAGTGCTTCTTTTTGGTTTCATTTCATTTAACATTTTAAGCTTATCTAATTTTTCAAAATTTTTTTTATTACAAATGGTGAAAAAAAAAAGGAATTGTTGATTTGTGTAATTTGTGTTAGTGATTGCACCAATTCATCCATGTATCATACAATTCAAAGTCATTTGTGATTCATCGTAGGATACAAATTGTTGGCTAGCTATTTCATATTGAATTGTGCAATGTGAATTGCAAATCATAAGAATGTAATTATGATGATTATGTTGGTCTTACATTAGACCTCTAACCTTTACTGTCTTCCTTCATTAATTTATTAAATGAATTGAAAAACTCGTCTTACCTTTTGCAAGTAAGGGAATCTATTTCTAACCACCTGTAATTTGTTGAAAGTGCCTACATGCCATTACTGTATTTTTAGATTGCCCGTGGTTAACCCCTACATCCTGAATGCTTTTGTGCTTATATTAGTGTCTTGTACAATAATACTATTTTCATTGCTACCTCTTCAGTGGCTTGCCAAAAATATCAATAAGAAAGTTGAGAAGTTTGTTATGCCTAATGGAACGACTCTTTTAGGTACTGATATTATATTAATTCTAACGTTTAGTTTCTCAGTTTTTTATTATGTGGTGAACGCAACACTATTAGTGCAGATAAGGCATCTATGGCAAGCATTTCTACTACGTCATCAAAAGTTGTTTATCCTGATACTTCAAAGATGGTGATATATGATCCAAAGCATAATCCTGGTACATACCCCATCCTGTTTGAAATTGAAATACTTTGTTACAACTTGTGATTGACAACATATTCTGATTACTGTAGTATATGCCTTAAAAATCTTTTCCCTTGATTCTTTACCGGTAGACTTCCTTTGTTTTTAATGATAAAAGTTTTCTGATAAAAGGTGAAATCTCTAGTAGATGCTGTAATCCAATAGAACCTCCTTGGTCAACTTGGATAGAGACTTCTTACACACCAAATTCCTTATGCTTTTGCAGCTAATGGGGAGATCCAATAAATAATGATGAATGTTCTTTCAAGATATGGAATATAGGCCTATCCTTTTCTTTTTTTATCTGGATTTCCTTTACTCCTTACAGGGATACATATCCTCAGTATACATTACAGAGATACTATTTCTAGGATTTGAACTAGTGACATTGAGGTCACCAGCGGCAGCAACATCCTTACCGATGTGTGAACACTCACTCTCATACATGTGCTCAGTTATAGTTAAAAGTAATCAGAAAATTAATTATATTTTTCTAATTTCAATAAAAAGTAATGAATTTCATGCATCCCTGATTATGGTTATTGATATGGGACAAAGAGTGACAATGGAGAAAAGGGAAAGAAAAGAGTATAGGGGGAATTTGGGAAGAGGACGAGGAAGATAATGGATTAGTATTATGCTGAAAGTCCAGTGAACATCATTGAAACTATTGGAGACTGGAAATCATCCTAATTATGATCTCCTGTGACCTATGTAAGAAATGATGATTGCATTAGAATATTAAAATTTATGTTAGAAACTTTGAATATATAGTCAACTGTATTTATGTTGATTGGGTTATAATAATCAGTTAGACTGTTAATGATTGTTAGGATGGAGATTGATTTGTGTGAATTACTCTCTGATTGTGAATCAATCCATAAATACCTGATGGTGTGTAGCCAAACACAATTTCTCTGATTCTCTCAACTATTGTCTTTTCACATATTACTAGTGTCTAACTGAAATAATAACTTGTTACAGAAATAACAAATGATTAATTTGTTTTTGCTGAAGTGGAAATAAATAATGGTTTGTTGATGTTAATGATGGTTGGAAAATCTGAGCAGTGAATAGTGATATCTATACCACTTTGAGTAGGGGGGTAGTTAAACTTTCTGTTCTAAAAAAATCCTCTTTGTAAATTAGTCCACCAAGTTTCTAACCCTAGTTGACAAGAATGCAATACATGTATGGCATGCAGTTTCTAACCCTAGTTGACAAGAATGCCTAACGAGAGACTAACTTTGATCTGTACATCTTTGGTGGGCCAACTGCGCTTTGGTAATATATATATATTTTTTTTACCTGGAAATTGACTTCATCTCTGGTTTCCGATCTTCTCCACTACTGTTCACTGTTGTTTCCAGTAATCTCTGTACTGTTCACTGTTGGTGCACTGTTCTGACAACCTTTCTGGCAGACAACCTTTGTATGCAACCCAATGCAACTGGACCCATATCAATCAGAGCTCAGATGCTCCCTCATGCGCTGCAAAACTGCAGCGCGACAAATCTGTCCAGCCACCACTGTTGCTGTGCATTGTGGCATGTGACACCGTTTCTCTAGTTGCCATTAACATTGATGGCATTGCCATTACCTTATCATGGAAGTATATATGAAGCAACCTCCGTTATATTAGTTTGTTGTCTTAAAAAATTCTTGTATGGCCTTAAACAATCTCTTAGGGCATGGTTTGTTTGCTTTAGCATTGTAGTCCAAGAATTTGAAATGACTTAAAGTGGAGTTGATCACTTAGTTTTTTATTGTTATTCTGCCATAGAGTGAATTTATTTGATTATTTATGTCGATGATATTGTTATTATGGTAGCAATCACCATGACATTACACAAATAAAGCAGCGTTTGTCATCATATTCAGACAAAAGATCTTGGTAGAATTCAATGCTTTTTGGAAATAGGTGTCTAATCTAAGAATGACAATGTGATTTCTCAGAGGAAGTACACATTAAATATTTTAGAGGAAGTAGAATTGATGGGTACTAAGCACATAGACACTCCTATAGATCTTAATTCTAAACTTCTACCAAGTTACCGAGAGTCACTTAGTGATCTAGAGAAGTATAGGAAGCTTGATGGGAAGCTAAACTATCCTGCCATCGCTTGTGTAAATATCTTTTTTGCAATCAGTGTCAGTTTCTCAACTTGTGAAGGACATTGGGATACGATAATTCACATTCTAAAATACATTGAAAGAGCTTCAAGAAAAGGACTCTTGTATGAAGATAAGTGTCATACTTGAATTGTGGGTTACTCTAATATAGATTATTTAGACTCCCATATTGATAGGAGATGCACTTCTAGTTATTGCATTTTTATTGGTGATAATTTGATTTCCTAGAAAAGTAAACAAAGTGTAGTTGCTTGTTCAAGTGTAGAAGCAAAATATCAAGTCATGGCCTTCAATATATGTGAAATTATCTAGTTGAAATAACTACTTAAAGAACTGAGATTTGGGGATTTTATGAAAATGACACTCATTTGTGCAGCCTTGTGTATTGCATCAAATCCAATGTTCTATGAAAGAACAAACCATATTAAAGTAGATTATCACTTTATTAGGAAGAAAATTTTATCTGCAGATATCACCGCTAGCTTTGTCAATCTGAATGATCAACTGAGAGATGTCTTCACCATATCAATGAGAGGTTATCATATTAGTTATATATGTGGCAACTTGGTGCATATGATTTATATGCTCCAACTTGAGGAGGAATGTTAAATATATGTAATTATAGTTATAAAGCGAGTTTATCTTTACAATTATGATGATTAGGTAACTAAATATTCTGTAAATATTTTATAATTTTTACTATTATCAATATAAATATATACTTTGTGTGTAGTTGAAACACAGATTTATCTGCATATTCTCTCACTTTCTCTCTTTCAACAGTTTGAACTTTTTATGTTTAGAATAAATTCAATTTAGCAACAAAGTATGATCTGAATTATTTTAGTCATAATTTTCAAACTTCTACCATTTTACCATACATGTCTATGTTGCTTTTGTAATTATTTATTATATTTAGCACAAAAAAATGCATGATAAAAATGTCCAATAATTATCAAGATAGTTCTTTTATACAAGGTCTAGGGAAGGAGTTATTATTTCCCATTTTTATAATGCAAGTTATTATTTCATTTTCCTCACTGAACAATATGAAAAATGACTACTTGTTAATTTTCCTCTGTGCAACTACACCTGGAGTGGAAACCTTGTCTAATCCAATTACCAGTGGCAGGTGCTGGAACGAATGCATTTGATGAAATTTTGAAAGCTACACCACCTGCTTTGGTAGCATTTTTGGCCAACCTACCTGCAGTTGAAGGTAATTTCATAATTTCTATTGACTATGATTTGTTATCCATAATAATGTACATCTCTTTTCTACAATTTTATGTGCAATCTTTTAATGTGTTAAAATGCCAGGGAGAATGAGTTTCCTCTGTTAAGATAATTAATTGCCAAGTTTGAGCCATGAACAATATTTCTGCAGCCATGGAGCTTTTTGTTCTCTTAATTTATCAATGCTCAGTGCTATTTACTGCAAGTCCCCACTGAATTTTTTAGCCTCAACTATCACTTTATGTGTAGGATTTTATTGTATAAATTATCTGTGTTTAGTAGGCACGTGGTTTTTCAAAGAAAATGGTATATTATAGTTTTGGTGGATTAGAGAATGTTGAAAGCAAGGTCCAACTCTTTTGGAAGAATATTATAGGACTTCCACTATTTTTCCCTAGTTACCAGTGCTAATACTCTGATTATTCATATCTAGACACTTGAAAATTGTTTTGAAATTTCCAGGTCCAACACCAAATGTGGATATTGTGCTATCAATTTGTTTGCAGAGTGATCTACCATCAGGACAAAGTGGGAAAACAGGGATTCCAAAACAATTACAAATTGGGAAAACAGGAATTTCAACACAATTGCCAGCAGGTCCTGCCCCTGCTACAAGTGAACTTTCTGGTTCAAGCAAGTCTCACCCTGTTTCAACTGCTGTATCTTTGAAACTGACAAGTAATAGGCAATATGGGAAAAGGAAAGAATCAGACAGTATGTGCTTCATCTATTTACACTAGACTTTATACTTGTGTTTTCGTTTGTCTTTTCTTTTTAAATTATATGTTTGCAATTCTACTCATGTACAATTTTGTGTATATGAATCCAGTGAGGGGCCTTCTAGAGCATTCTTTGCATGTATCCAAAAGGTTTTTTGAGTGGTCAAATATTTATGTTGAAATATGGGAAAATAACTTGTCATATTGTAGATTATTAGGTTCATATTTCTGCAGCTTATCATGATCTGTTTCCCTACTTAACTCGGTTTATAATTAGTTTAAATAAAGGCTAGTGCTTTAGGTTTTATGAATGTATCATTGATACATTATGTTAAGATGTTCCACATTGGCTAGGAATAGAGGTAAAATACTCTTTATAAGGGCTTGTATAGTCCTCCTCATATGAGCTACATTTTGGGCGTGAGTGAGACCCAAATTTCTTTTGTCTCTCTTCCTTCCTCTATACCTAAAACCCCAAAATTTCAACAATTTAATTTGATGTTCAAAGTGTGTCATGAAATGTGTACTAGAGAAGCTTCAGAGTTCATTTTATGCAGTACTTTTTATCCACAATTGTAGCCATAACTGATTCTCTGTCAAAATGGAGCTGATATTTTAGTCACAGAATTGCTATATACATTCTAATTAGCAATTTAGTATGTTTAGGAGTTGTTTAACGTCAAAACACCTGTAGAGTTTCTAAGTGAATTGATTCTCATATTTGTACTACATTTTTTTCTCGTGCCTAGTTTTAACCCTCTATAGTTCAAAACAATGAAACTTGTAGCAAGTAGCAACAACAAATGGATTTACCTAAATAATGGTGTTTATTTATTGCATTTGTAAGATTATACGCTAGTTATGCTTGTATTGTTAGCTTTCGTTTTTTAGGATTTGACATCAAAGTTCAATTTCCACCCTGCTGATATTTGTTATTGTAATAATGTTTAGGGCAAGAGGATGATGATACTACAACAGTTCAAAGCCAACCACTTCCACGAGATGCTTTCCGAATACGACAGTATCAGAAAGCTCGAGCTAGTAGTGCTTCACAAACAGGATCGGTTTCATATGGAAGTGCATTTTCTGGTGATTTATCTGGTAGCACTGGTTGATAAAATATTTAAGCCACTTCTTGGATGTCGATGTAAATTAAAATACCTTCTTTGAGCTCATATACCATTATCCTTTCCTTTCTATTTACCTATAGCCATATAGATAATTTAGATAAATTAAGCACTACATTTGCAAGTATGGAGGGTAATAAATTATTTTTTTATAGCTCTTATATAAAGACTTGTTGAATATCATGTTTCTTAAAAATATCTGGTGATGCAAAAGGACTGCCTGCGGACAATCTTTGCATGAGTATAACCTCAGCCCTTATCCTTGTCTAATAGGATAATATATCAGAGGGATCTTGATGCATGAGAAGAGCCATACTTGTTTCTAAAGGGTCATAGACTTTTTTTTTTTTTTTTTCTATGCATTCTTGGGAGGGCTTGATAATGGTCTAATGATTTTGGTTGGTATGCGTAACCTAAGAAAAACAAACATTTTTTATTAGATTTTTCACAAAATAATTTCTTTCATTTAATTTTTATGTCTATGTTGGAGATGTAAGCACTTGTGCAAGAAAGCCATGGTGTGGAGTTTACATTGGCTAATGAAGGATTGAACTTACAATGTTATGTTACAATCTTTGTTGATTAGACATGGTGTAATATATTTTTATTTTTATGAAAATTGTTAACAAAGGTGCTTAGGTGACACCCTTGACTAGCATAGGGCATAACTGCTCTATCATTTACTTATTTGGATGCAAATTACCAGAATATTTAAATTTTACATCACAAATGTTAATAGAACAGCGGTGGTAATATTAACACTCCATCAGATATATTATTTTAAGGGTTACATAATATATCTCTAAAATAGATTAACTAATTCCTTAACTATCAAACCATATTTACAATATTAACAAAATTTTAGACGAAGAAAATCTTACATGCAGCCAATTGTGACTTGTTTATACGCTTTAAAAGTTTATAGACATGTCAAAATACTAAAAGATTTGAGTTACTGTCCATAAGTGACTCCTATGTATAATAGGGGTTAATGTAAAAAGCTATGCAGTACCATCTTTAATCTTGAAATTGAAATTTAAATATATTCGTATATGGACCAATAGTCTATTTTTAGATCTACTTATTTGGAAAAGTTAACACAACATGCAAAATAAACAAACTAATGAGAAAAAATTTTAGTGATGAAGGTTATTAATTTAAGTTCTTAATACTTTCTTATAATTCTTTTCATGTTGCAAGATATCAATTTCATGACATTATAAGAGTCATATACTTTAATTCAAGCAACATTGACATTATACTATAAGTGGTTTGAGCTTACAAACAATACTATTCATGTAGTTATCTATCAAAAATACTCAAATGATCAGAGTTAAAGAAATAGAAGATGAAAAGGAAGAAAAGTTTTAATCACTTCATCACCTTACAAGATCTTCTAATACTTTGAGATTTCTTCTTCCTTGCTTCCTTTTTTCTCCTCCCAAGCTCTCTTTGTCTTGTCTTTTGTTCTCTACTGTAATTAGCACCAAAATCTCCCACACACTTGCTAATAATATTAGAATAAGTATGAGTGAAACAGAAATTTAATATATTGCTTAATTCTTCATACTTTCAACTAAAGTTGTCTATTAATGTGTTTACTTATTCAAACTAAATAAACTTTTAAGTTTTACCCTTGGTTACTAGCAAATCAATTCTACTAATACAATTATGGGTAAAAATAATATAATTTTATAATTATAAAAAAGTTTAAGGACTTACTTGTAGTTAGTTAGACTTTTATTTATATAATTTTTTTTTGAGAAAATAACCTTAGAATTTTCATCATTTTTTACTCATTTTTGCAATCCAAAAATTTATTTAAATTATTTACTCAAAATTAGGGTGTTAAACAAAAATAAAATAAAATAAAATAAATATTTTCAAACTTACTAACTTTTTATGATATATATTAATCTTAAGGTTAATATTTTCTTTTGTGATCATGGTTAGCACAATGCAGAGTAAAATGATCCATGTAGAATAAAATAAAAGATAATGATTGAAAGACTTTTTCAAGTAGAGTAAAATGGTCCAAATGTATGTAAAAAAAAAAGTTGATAAAGAGAAAAATATTTAAAACTCACAACTTATACTTAAAATAGTGTCTTGCCTATGATAGCAGCTAATTTTAAATAAACATATCCTATTGAAAAATGTTAAAAATATATATTTTTCAACAATTTTCTTTAAATAATTACTGCAAATTCATAAATTGAGTTTGCATTCAATTTAAAAAATAAAAAACTAAAAATCTAAGAATAGGAATTAAGAATAGAAAGATTAGTTGTTCACCTATAAGAGATGGTGTGATTATTGAACTTGTGTTAAAAATTTTGTATTTAGTTTGATATTTTTAGCAATAAATCTAAAGTTAATGGCACATGCATTGTTTTTCTTTATTTGGGAGGTTTTACAACAATTACAATAGGCGCATTGTTAATATGTTAGAAACTAACCTATACCCTTGTTTTCAATTGAGAACTATAAAAGGGATTTGAGAGGACTAAACAAAAAGGACAAGGAAGGAGAAATAGTAATAATTTAACAATGGAACAAAAGTTGTCTTCAGCGGTGCTAATGTTTCTCTTATTTGCTACATCCATGTATGTAAGTCAAGGTGTGGAAGTTGATGCCATTTGCAAGAAAGCTAGCAATCCTTCATTTTGTAGAAATATTGTGAATTCAAAGCCTGGTGGAGCAGCTAATGCAGATCTTGTTGGCATTGCTCAATATGTCGTTGATGTGACACGTGTGAATGTGACCAACACTATTAAACTAATTCACAGGCTAATTAGACGAAATGTTAACAATTCAGATGCAAGAGAGCATTATACATTATGCTTAAAACATTTCAATTATGAAACGGGTGCCCTTAGAAGAGTTGAGCTTACATAAGAGACACTGCAAAAGAAAGATTACTCATCCTTGAATATGAATGCTGTTGCAATCAAAACTAACATTAATTTGTGTCTTGATGGAGAGTTACCTACTGATGATTTTAATCCCTTTCATGATACATCTTTGCTCCCTACATTTGCTGATGCTATTTCACAGGTTATTGAAATAATCGTTATTGTATCTGATATGCTATACCCCAACGTATGATTATACTGCATTTCAAATTAAATATGCCGAAGGCATCTTGTAATTTATTTCAATGTGTTTTCATAATTATATATGATTATCAATAAACTCTCATTTTATAGTTGGGTTCTAGTGCCCTTTGTGGTTAAAGTTAAATACTATGTAATGAATCAGGATAACTACCTCTTTTTTTCTACATTTGATTAGTGAATCCTATTTGTTTGTTATTTACTCTAGGTTATTTAGCTATTCACCAAGTAATATCATATTAGACTTATTTTCTTTGTTAAAGACTTTATTTAGTAACACATGTTATAACCAAAATCATAAAGAGTTTGTAAACAAGGTGTTTAAAGAAATAATTTTATATTAAGTAAAAAAATTGAAAGAAATTTTAATATTATAAATTTTTAAAAATAAATTTACGATTAGGAGTTAATTTATGCATAGAAAAGATAAAGAAATTCATTCAACATTATCCTCAATGCATTCGCATCAAGGTTGTTGCTTTAAATTAATTATACTAATTTAATGATTTTAAAATATTTATTTTATTCAAACATACATTTGAAGTACTTCTATTAGCTTTAATGACCCCTAAAAAACAACACTCTTATCTATATTATAAAGCATAATTACTATTATGATCTCTTTGTCAATCTTCGTAGATCAAATTTAGATTTTTCAATTAAAAAAAGCAACTTGCATATGAATAAATATAACTAAATAGAAATTTGATAAAAATATGAGATTTACTCAGACTAGAAATGACAGCAAAAGGGCATGAAATATAACTTACTTTAATATTACTTTCATTAATATTATCATCCTTCTCAAGTGCAAGCATACTCATGATGAGAAACTATTTGGATAATTTTACTCTAGCACATTTGTCTAGTCATGTAAAGGGAGAGCCTTAATTACAAAAGTAAGGTTGTTATCTTGTAATCTAAAGGCTATGGGTTCAAATCCTGGAAAGAACCTTTGCAATTTATCAATATATTCTCAATTAAGATTTATGACACAAGAAAGTTGAGATAGAAGCAACAAAAAATTCTCACCACCATATAACTTTTGAAGCACATATATATTGTTTAGAGACCTCTAGAGGATGATTTAGGGAGTAGTTTAGGGTCAAGATAAAATAAATTAGAGACCTCTAGAGGATGATTTAGGGAGTAGTTAAGGGTCAAGATAAAATAAAAAACTAGAAAGAATAAGCATATTATAAGATCAAAATAATGAATTCAAGCATAAGTTTGAAATAAAAAAAATCTCTCTCAACCAATTTAACAATATTGTAACTAAAATATACAAATTCTTTTTCAGCATGATATTGCATATAATTGATAAAATTGTTAACAAAATTGTAACAATTCATGAAATAGGAAAGCGCTATTCTAACCATTCATGAAGAACATGAATAAAAAAATTGCATATATGAAAGAAAATATGTGTATCAAAGCACAAGCAAACAATTTGTAACACTAAATTAATAAAACAATCTATTGTTTTACATCACAAGTGTTAATAGAACAGCATGGTAACCTTAACACACTCCATAATTAAATTATTTTAAGGGTTACATAATATATCTAAAATAGATTAACTAATTCCTTATCTATCACATCATATCGACAATATTAACAAAAATCTAGATGAAGAAAATCCTACATGAAGTCAATTGTTTATATGCTTAAAAGTTTATAGACATGTCAAAATACCAAAGGACTTAAGTTACTACATGGCCATAGGTGACTCTTACAATAATTACCCATAATAAGTAAGCTAAACTAGTCCTTCATTTATCTTATTCTCTCCCAGTTCAATGTCCATTATAATAAGGGTTAATGTAATAAAGCATGCAACATCATCTCTAATCTTGAAACTAGAATTTAAATATATTCGTATATGGACCAATAGTCTATTTTTATATCTACTTATTTGGAAAGGTTAACTCAAAGACATACAAAACAAACCAACTAATGAGAATATATTTTATGTCTTAGCATATAGATTTCAGTTATTTAGTTATAATTGTAAGTCAGTTAGTTGTTAAAAAAATAGTTTGTGATTGTATATAACAACAACAACTTGTATATTCATTTATCACTTTTCTCGATTACGAAAAATACTATTTTTCATCATCTTCTTCATTTCTTCTTGTGTCTATTATGTGATCTTACTTTCTTTTACAGTGTCATTCATGGCTCTTTACAATTTCTTGATGGTATCAGAGCTCTTCAATTGATTGAAGAGCTCTGCTGCGCAACTCATATTATTAGTTTTTGCTAGTTTCGTTTTTGATTTGTTTTCTTCTTATCTCCAAACATGAGTTCAGGGAAAGATCAATCCTTAAATGTTCACAACCCCTATTATCTGCATCTCTGTGAAAATCCTGCAACACCTCTTGTTTTACCAGTTCTTGATCCCACAAACTACAATTCATCGAGTAAATCCATGCTCACTGCGTTGAGCACGAAAAACAAAATTGAATTTGTTGATGGATCGCTTCAAAGACCAGCATCTGATCATGTTCTACACTCAGTATAGAAAAGATGTAATAACATGGTTGTGTCATGGCTAGTGCATTCTGTATCACCTTCAATTCAACAAAGCATATTGTGGATGGATAATGCTCTTAATATTTGGAAGGACTTGAAATCACGCTACTCACAAGGAGATTTGCTGCGAATTTCAGGATTACAACAAGATATGGCTTCTATTAAACAGGGTGATACTTCTATTATCGATTATTTCACAAAATTGCATATGATTTGGGATGAATTAGAAAGTTACAGACCTGATCCTGTGTGTAGATGTGTTCATAAATGCTACTGTGATGCTCTTACTAGTATAATGGAAAGAAAAAAGCAAGATAATGTTATGCAATTTTTAAGAGGATTGAATGAACAATATACTACTGTGAGGTCCAATATCATAATGATGGATCCTTTGTCACCCATTACTAAGGTGTTTTCATATGCAGTTCGGCAAGAACGACAATTTCTTAACTCTAATTTGATTGGAGATATGAGTTTAATCATTGCTGCTAGCACAATTTCTGGATCTAATATTTCTTGTAGTTACTGCGGAAGAACTAACCACACGATGGATAATTGTTTTAAAAAAATGGATATCCTCCTAATCTCTCAATTAATAGGGGAGGAAGAGAAGGTCATAACTCTTATGAAAGTGATAATACTATGGGAAGAATTATTAAAGCATGTACTGTGGAATAAATGGTCACACTATTGAAGAATGTTACAAGAAACATGGTTATCCACCTAGTCATAGATTGTATAAATCAGTGAATAGTACTGTTGCAGATGGAAACAATACAGAAAACAATGACAAACAAATGTAGGATTGTATTGTAAAAGATATGAAGCTCACAACTCAACAATATGAGGCCTTGATGAATTTGCTTCAACGATAAACAAATCATGGAGTTTCAACTTCAAACAACATTTCTCACATAAACCAACTTGGTACAGTCTTACCATCTAATGATCATGGCATTATAGGTAATGATTTACCTTTGATTTGCACCATCAATAAGCATGATCAGGCCACATGGATCCTTGATTCAGGTGCAACTGATCATGTGGCTTCTTCATTATAACTTTACACCACTTATAAGCAGATTCATCCCATTGTTGTTCAGCTACCCAATGGCCAGAAAACTGTGGCAAATTATTCCGGAATAGTGAAACTCACTAATTCCCTTACACTCACTAATGTCCTATATTTGCCAAATTTCACTTTTAACTTGATTTCTATCTCCAAACTTGTTTCTTCACTTAATTGTAAATTGACTTTCTTTGTTGATAAATGTTTGATTCAGGAAATAGCCAGCCAGAAGATGATTGGTATAGTTGATGCAAAAGACGGACTATCCAAATTAAAGAAACAGTCAAGTAAAGTTTTGGGTGTTAGTTTTATGATTGCTACCTCTAATTCTACTTTTTCCTGTAAAAAAATGATAATAGATTTATGGCACTATAGATTAGGTCACCCCTCTCATGAAAGGTTGCGTCTCATGAAACAACATTATCCCATTTTGTTTTCTGATTCAAACTTTGTATGTGATACATGCCATAAGGCTAAGCAAAGAAAATTGACATTTCCTTTGAGTACCTCTCGTACTTTTACTACTCTGTCTTTATTGCATGTAGATATTTGGGGGCCTTGTTCAGTTACATCTCTACATGGACATAAATATTTTTTAACCATTATAGATGACTATTCAAGATTTGTATAGGTTTTTCCTATGATTTCTAAAGCTGAGACACAAACTCAATTATAAAAATTTGTTCTTTTTGTTGAAAGGCAATTTGAAACCAAAGTTAAAACTAGAAGATCTGATAACGAAACAAAATTTATTATGACCCAATTTTATGCTGCTACTGGTATAGTGCATCAAACTTCTTGTGTTGAAACACCTGAGCAGAACGGAATTGTAGAGAGGAAACACAAACATTTGTTGAATGTAACTTGATCTCTTCTATTTCAATCCCATTTACCACCTATTTTCTGGTCATATGCTCTTCTCCATGCTGTGAATCTCATCAATTATTTGCCTACACCTTTTCTTGATAATTTTTCTCCATATCAGAAATTATACTATATCCCTTACGACATTACTTTACTTCGTGTCTTTGGGTGTCTTTGTTACACAAGTACTCTTACAGCTAATAGAAAGAAATTTTATTCAAGAGTGTGTTTCTCTCGACTTCAAACTCCACAAAAAGGGTTATGTAACCTTTAACCTTAAGACTCGAGCTATTGAAATATCCAGAAATGTCATTTTTTTATGAAGAATGTTTCCCTTATCTTGATGCTATTTCTGTCACAGATAATTCTCCTTCTCTTTCACACCCTCCTATTATAATTCATACTGATGATTCATATCTTCCTCTTATTGAGACACATAATTTTTCTGAGTCACATTCAATTGTTCCCTCTTCATCTTCTTCTCTTGAGTGTATTCTCAATGATACACAAACTAATGCATCCACTAATACTTCATCCTTCAATGAACAACAACCTCAGCTTCGCAGATCTGATCGACCAAGGAATAGACCAGGAAAGTACAATGACTTTCAAACAAAATTTGCATCAACTGTCACCTCTCATCATTCAGGTATTCGGTATTCTTTATCCTCAGCTTTATCATATAATAGATTGTCTCCTTCATACCACAATTTTATTATGTCTATCTCTTCACAAACTGAACCAACATCTTTCACTGAGGCTTCCAAACATGAACATTGGATTCAGGCAATGAATAAAGAAATTGGTGCTTTAGAGAGAAACAACACATGGTTTCTTACAAACTTACCTCCTCATAAGACTGCTATAGGCTGTAGGTGGGTCTATAAAATCAAACACCATGCTAATGGAAGTATTGAAAGATATAAGGCACAACTAGTTGCTAAAGGTTATACTCAAATTGAGGGACAAGACTATTTGGACACATTTTCTCCAGTTGTGAAGATTACTACAGTTAGACTACTTTTAGCTCTTGCTGTTGTAAACAATTGGCATCTCAAACAACTTGATGTTAACAATGCTTTTCTGCATGGTAATCTTAATGAGGAAGTTTATATGGTACTTCTTCCAGGAATGAAATCATCTAAACCTGGCCAAGTGTGCAAACTTCAAAGATCTCTCTATGGCTTAAAACAAGCTAGTAGGCAGTGGTATGCTCGATTATCTACTTTTCTCATGTCACATGGCTATAAGCAATCTGTTTCTGATATTCATTGTTCACCAAACATAAAGAAAAGTCTTTTATTGTTGTACTAGTATATGTTGATGACATTGTTTTGTCTGGAAATGACATTTCTGAAATATCTCATATCACCAAAATGTTGGATATTGTTTTTCGTATAAAGGACCTTGGAGATTTAAAATTCTTTCTTGGTTTTGAAATTGCTCGAAGCCAATCTGGTATTAATATATGTCAAAGAAAATACACTCTGGATATTCTTAATGATGTTGGCATGCTAGGATCCAAACTGGCTTCTACACCAATTGATTATTGTACACGACTACATCATACATCTGGTCTTCCATTATCTGATACATAATCTTCTTCTTTTTGAAGACTCATTGGGCGATTAATCTATTTCACTAACACTCGACCAGACATTACTTTTGCAGTACAACATCTTAGTCAATTGTGTCTCATTCCACATTTGCACATCAGCAAGCAGCTTCTACGATTCTGCGCTACCTTAAAACTGCTCCAGGCCAAGGACTTCATTTCTCATCAAACAACATACTTCAACTAAAAGCTTTTAGTGATTCGGATTGGGATAGATGTATTGACACCTACAAATCAATTACTGGTTATTCAGTTTATCTTGGTTCCTCTCTAATTTCATAAAAATCAAAGAAACAAGTAACTGTGTCTCGTAGTTCTTCTGAAGCAGAATATCGTGCTCTTGCTAGTACCACGTGTGAATTACAATGGCTTACTTTCTTACTCCAAGGTTTTTATGTTGATTTTTGACAACCTGCTTTGTTGTTTTGTGACAATCGTTCCGCTCTTCACATAGCTGCGAATCCTGTCTTCCATGAAAAAACCAAACATATCGATATTGATTGTCACATTGTTAGAAAACGGTTACTCTCTGGTCTAATCAAGTTACTACCTATTTCATCTGCAAACCAATTAGCTGATATCTACACCAAAGCTCTTTCTCTTGGCGCTTTTCATTTTCTCACTCCAAGCTAGGAATGAATGATTAGCTTGAGGGGGGATCTTAGCATATAGATTTTAGTTATTTAGTTATAACTGTAAGTCAGTTAGTTGTTAAAAAAATAGTTTGTGATTGTATATAACAACAACTTGTATATTCATTTATCACTTTTCTCGATTAAGAAAAATACTATTTTTCATCATCTTCTTCATTTCTTCTTGTGTCTATTATGCGAGCTTACTTTCTTTTACAGTGCCATTCATGGCTCTTTACGATTTCTTGATTATGGATGAAGATTTAAGTTCCTAATGCTTTCTTATAATTCTTTTCATGTTGCAAGATATGAATTTCATGACACTAGGAGACGTTTACTTTAATTTAAGCAACGTTGACATAATACTAAAAGTGATTTACACACAGTACTATTGATGTAGTCATCTAACAAAGTACTCAAATGATCAAAGTTAAACAAAGATACACCTCTTGGAGATGCAAAATGACTCTCCAAAACTCAAAGTTTTATGGCACTATACAAACGAGTTATTTCCATAGTTGGAATGACACGGAAAAGAAAAAAAAAATTAGAAGATGATAAGTAGGACAAGTTTTAATCACTTCTTCATCTTACAAGATCTTTTAATCCTTTGGGATTTCTTCCTCCTTACTTCCTTTTTCCTCCTTCCAAGCTCTCTTTGTCTTGTCTTTTGTTCTTGACTGCAACCAACACTAAGATCATCCACACACTTGTTAATAATAGAATAAGTATGAATGAAACAGTAATTTAATATGTTATTTAATTCTTCATACATTTAACTAAAAATTGTCTATTAATGTGTCTACTTAATCCAAACTAAATAAGCTTTAAGTTCTACTCTTGGTTACCAGCAAATCCATTCTAGTAGAAGAATTAAGGGTAAAAATAATATAATTTTATAATTATAAAAAAGTTGAAGACTTACTTGCAATTATTTAGACTTTTATTTCTATTTAAAAAAATTCTCAAAAAATAACCTTAAGATTCTCAATATTTTTTTTACCCATTTTTGCAATTCAAATATTTACTTAAATTATTTAACTCAAAATTAGGGCGTTAGAACGAAAATATAAAAAATGTTTTCAAACTTCCTAACTTTTCATGATGAAAATTAATCTTAAGATTAATATTAAGAAAGCTAATTTTTATTTATTTGTTTATTCATTTTGTGAGCATTATTAGCACAGTGTTGTAATTTTGCATCTTAAGATTGAATTATGACCATATTTTTGAAATTTGTTGTTTTAAGTACAATGCCAATATCAACTGAAGCTAAAAAAATATTGAAGATCCTACTATCAAGTTGTGTTTACTTAAAATATGTTTAAATACTTTAGTCTTTAAAATTATAAGCATCTATCACTTTAGTTTAAATCTTACTTTAATCTTTGATTCTATAAAATGGTATTTGATAAATTTGTATTTAGGCCATCTTTTTTGCAACCTATATATTTATGTCTGGTCTTTATTTTATTTATGTTTTACACTAATTTATATGTTAAGTGTATAGTTTAGTATAAATAGGTCACAAGTAAATTTTGGGTGCAATTTGTTTCCAAATTGATAGAAGATAAGAGTTTCACAACAGTTAGCACGCTAAGATTTGAGCCCATGCACGATCGTGCCTAAGATTTTGCATGGCCGTGTTCATCTAATTGGACATCTTGTCTTTTACTTTTTGATACACCTTTCATCTTGTTTCTTTTGCACGAGATCTTTAGTGTACTCTTGGTGGGATGTTGAGCTTCGAGCGACTATACTTGAAGACCGAGAACTCATCTTATCTCTAGTTTGCTATTTTCTCTTGATTATTGCTTTGTTTATGAATGTTTTAATTCTTTTCTTTAGTATAAGTAACTAAGTACATAATTAGGACTATAGGAAGAATTTATGAGATTTTGAAATTTGAATCTATGTTTGATTTCAGTATGTGATTAGTGTTTATCCTATTATCCATAATTGTATAATTCTAATTAATTATATTGTTAGGTGTCCGTACCTCGATTAGTTAGTGGATTTATAGGATAAAATGACACAAAAGATTAGATGGACTAAACTAATATTTCTCTTCTAATCATTATTAAATTAACAAGTTCATATATGTTTTATGTTTTCTTAAATTAATATCTTGTATGACCATTGTTGATGTTAGTTTAGAAAAAAGATTAATAATAATTATATGAATGATTGGTAATTAGAAGGAAATTGAACTTAGAATTAAACGAAAAATTAACATAAAAGATTGAATAAGAAAACTCATATGTCATAGGTTCCTCTTCTATAAGTTCAACCATGACATGCATTGTATTTCTTGTTCTCAATTTCATAATAGATTTTATAAATTCTTGTTTTAATTAATCTTATATCTTTTAAGTTCAAACAATTGAATTAGAAAATTCTTAGTAATTAGAAAATAATCCTTGTGATATGATAATTTAGAAATTTAATTTAAGAATTTTTTATTACTTTTCGACGGATACACTTGCCTACAAAATAATATTTGTTTTTATTCTTTTTTAATATTGAGTGACAATAAAAAATAAAATAAAAATGACTAAAATGAGTTATTTTAAAAACAAATGATAAATGTGAGATTTTTGTAAAGTCAAATGTACTAAAGTATCTATGTTTATAATTTGAAAAACTAAAATGAGTATTAATTTATTCCTTAAAATATTTTTTGTTTCAAATCGTAAAAGATAATGATTGAAAGACTTTTTAATGCAAAGTAAAATGGTCCAAATGTATGTATAAAAAAAATGTTGACAAAGAGAAAAATGTTTAAAATTCACAAATTGTACTTAAAATAGTATCTTGTCTCTGATAACAACTAATTTTTTAATAAACATATCCTACTAAAAAATATTAAAAATATTTTTTTCAATATTCTCTTTAAAAAATTATTGTAAATTCATAAATTGGGTTTGTATTCAATTTAAAAAATAAAAAAAATTTCTAAGAATAGGAATCAAGAATAGAAAGAGTAGTTGTTCAACAATAATAAATGTAAACATTAATAGGACATGCAGTGCTAAATTATTTAGTCAATAATATGAGTTAGTAAGGATGGGTTAACCCTGCTTACCCACCAAAGTCATAAACCCTCAGTCCCAATTCTCTGAACACTCCCAAATCCTAATACTGAACTTGCGTTTGCTTACTGTAAACCCTAATTTCGCTGTCCAAATCCAAAGCTGCGCTCGGTTCTTGCCTAATCTGCCAACTTTGAAGCGAGGAGTTGGAACGTGCAAGGTTACAAGCTGAAGAGAAGAAGAGCTTAGTTCAATTTTCATTCGAAGACAAGTTTCGGTTTTCGACCAGCAGCCAGGTCTTTTACTTGGCTCCTTCTTCCTCAAATTGTGTGAGGGTTTTCATTCTTCTCTATCTATCGGTAGCATTTAGATTTCAATGTTGTGGGTTTCTTCTCTATCAAAACCTTTAAGATGTTTTTGAACACCATTGATAATCAGGATGAATTCATACGGCTCATCTTTTAATGTGGGATACGTACAGCAACAAATGAATTAGGAGCAGAAATTTGTCTCAATCTGATTAGTGGATATACTATCAATTGATGAAGAAGGTTAATAGCTTATTTTAATTTAGTGATTTGTAGATATAATTACATAGCATGTAACACCAGGATTGGCACACTGAGAAATTAACCAATTTTTAAATTGCTCAGCTGAAAGAGTAATTAAGACATTGGTGCTGTTGGGAATTAAAAAAAATTGTTGTACTATTGGGGTTTGCTTGTTTTTGTAGTAGGGGTATTGGTCCCTCGGAAAATTTCGTAGTTTATTGTAGTCAGGGTGATGATATTGTGTTTTACGTGTTGAATTACATTACTATCATGGCATCAACAAGATTTGCTATGATGCTCTGGTCTATGTTATAGGTTCAAGATATGATCAAATCTAATATCTGCTTTAAGCATTCAAGTCTAATCTCTGCTTTAAGCAGACAATGGTTTACAACATAACAGCTTGATGAGTTTTTATCTCCACAGTTTTGGAGAATTTTAGTTTTTGTTAGAAAGTTGTTAATCTTCGTCTGTTGCATATACAATTATCTCTCTTAATTTCTCTAATGTAAAATACTAATGAATGAGCATAATTTAAACTCTAATTACGTGACATGTTCTGGTCTTCTAAACTTCTTTTACGAGTTAATATCATTAGAAAAGCCTAACTGGAATGGTCAAGAATTGTGTCTGAAGGATGACCTCAGTCATATGATTGGACGCATCATGCTATTATTCTGCTTTATGTTGCAATGTTTTCAGTGAACCATTTGCTTGCCTAAAGCTTACTTTCATGAAGGAAAAAACTGTTTTACATGTACATTACTTTTCTGACTTCAAATCCTTTATTTTTCTGTCTAATAATATTTACATTTTAAAATTTTTCATCGGTTTCTATTGTTTTTTCTGCATTACAAAACAAGTTTATTTCTTAATGAATCTGTCTGTTTTTAATTTCACAATTAACCTTAACATTTTCATGGTAATTTTGCTATTATTTGCTTCTTACTTGTGCTGAAAAGACAAGGAAACCCATGAAATTGGTTCTGTTTGCACTTGGAGTGATGTTCTTTTGTTATAGATGGGTTTATGTAAATCTGGATTGTTTCTAGAAATTCTGTCAAGCTCACTGGGTCAAACAAGTTATTTGTGGATAAGTTTGGAGTTTAAAATTGGTTCTTGGAATAATTAGGGGTCTATGGTTTTGACTGAATCTGAAAACTTGTTTTTGTTGGAGGTATTGCTGCATTTTAATAGGTGTCATGTTGTCTTCACTAGCACACTTCTGGTTTACATAACAAGTGGGAACTTAAATTGGTTCTAGTGTTTCTTTAATTATTATTTGTAGTGTATTATTGTCTTCATGCAGTGTCCATTGGTAAATTAATTCTTGTGTATTGTTATATTTCATTGTGCTTTATATCCAGAGGAGTTGTTCATTTTAGTACAGGTGTGCAGCATGTTATAGTTTCTAGAATCTTAGGATTACATGATATATGCTTTTTGTCATGTTATTTAAGCATAAGTTTAGAATGTAGAATAGGACTGTGGAATAAATACAGGTGTGTAGTACTGAAAATTTTGAAGTTCTCCATAGTGTTGCTGCAAAAAAGCTAATGCTATCTTCATGGGCACATTTCTGGCTCACAAATTACATGAGAACTTAAGATGACAATTCACAATTTGTGGAGCCAGGTTGTGTTACTATGATGAAGCAGCAAGTTGATTGTGTTGTCATTATGGTAAGGCTATAGCCATGTGAACACAGTGCTGCTGTTGTACACGGCAGATTCTAATAATTTTATATGTTGACATGATGGTAAATTAAGTAGGAAAATAAGTATCCCTGTCTAATTTTCTCAGCATGAAACCATACTTATTTTCACAATTTGGTAATATTTTCTATGTCCATTTTGTGGTAAAAACCATGCTCCCTGAGTCACAGCTTTATTGATGATGGCTGATTTTGAGTTCATGTCCTACCAAGAATATCATCCTCTTTTTTCCTGTTCGTTTTAAGGCCACAGTGGACTGAATAAATTTTTTAGGCCCATAAGGCTTTTGATTTACTGAGCTTTTTGGCCCACAAGGATTTTTGGCCTTAACCCACATGGGCTAGGGCTAGGGCTAGGGCTAGGGCTAGGGCTGGACTGGGTCAGTTGGGCTTTTTGACAGCTCTAACATTGAGTCACTTAAATGAATTAAACTCTTATTTTATATTAATATATTTTATGTATGTGTATATAATTTGGGCCAAGAACATGGCCGGAAATTTTATAAAAAAATAAAAAGGAAAGAATGCGGTCGTAACTTCACAAGAAAAGAAAAATTAGGTTTTCTTTTCATATTCGCCTATTTAATCTGCAAGAGTGCAAGCTTCATCCGTAAGAAGTTACTCTACCTGGCTCTCTGTTCTTCTACCTTATATCATTGCATTTAGTTTCATCCTTAGTCTTGGTACTGTTGTCATTGTTAGGATGGGGAGCGAAGAGGAGAATGGAGAATTCTACCTGAGATACTACGTTGGGCACAAGGGCAAGTTCGGACACGAGTTTTTGGAGTTTGAGTTCAGACCCGATGGCAAGCTCCGTTACGCCAACAACTCCAACTACAAAAACGACACCATCATCCGCAAGGAGGTTTACCTCACTCCTGCCGTTCTTCGTGAGTGTCGTCGTATCATTACCGAAAGCGAGGTACCTAACCCTTACTAAGTGTACCCTTCTTTCCAGTTCTAGCAATTGATGCCTATGATTTATATGCATAGGGCTGGTTTTCCAAGGAGATAGGAGAGGAGGCTAATTTTAAAAGAAATTAGGAGGATTATATATATGTTTATGATAATAAATAAATGAATAATGTATTCAGTTTATACTAATTTGTTATTTTATTTATCTAAAATGAAAATTTAATTGTGCCTTGTTTAATCATAAAATGAGGGCTTGAATAATTATTTTTCTGAGTATTTTTATCATGTTCTTTGGTGTTTGAGTTATTGCGTTGTTCTGTTGTTGTTTGCTTTATTCTGTGTGCTCCTAATTTGGTGTCCTTGTTCAGATCATGAAGGAAGATGATAACAACTGGCCGGAACCTGATCGAGTTGGACGCCAGGAGTTGGAGATTGTGATGGGGAATGAGCACATCTCATTCACCACTTCAAAGATTGGATCACTTGTGGATGTTCAGAGTAGTGCAGATCCAGAAGGTCTTCGCATCTTCTATTATCTTGTTCAGGTCAGATGGGTGCCTCATGACTTTTTATTAATTTATATTGTGAGTTCTTGGATCTGTTTGTTTTATATATAGGCTTTTTTTTAGTGAACTTATGAATAAGTCTTTGTAAGAGAAGAAAAACAATATAAAAAATAAATAAAACTTTTCACATAAGTTAAAAATAACTTGTCTCTTTAAGTTTTAGAGAAGTTAAATGAGAGTAGCTTTTAAAAAGTAGAGAAGTATAAGTTAGTTTAATTTTAACTTATGGGAGGAATTTTATTGATTTATTATATTGTTTTTCTTCTCTTGCAAGGACTTATCCACAAGCTTACCCAAACAGGGCCATTGTCTGTGTATTGTGCCTTTCCTTCATCTTTAATTATGATAAAGTGAATATGATAGTTATTCTTTTCTGTCCTTTATTCTCTACCTTTCCATCTAAGTTTTAGTGTTATTCTCTCCCTTGGACAATATTAGTAGGTAAAAACATCCTCTCATTATAATTAGGCTTAGTTTGGATAAACTTCTCAAAAAATACTTATAAGAGTAAAAAGTAATGTAATAAAATGAATTAAACTCTTTTCATAAGTTATGTTAAGTAACTTGAGCCTAACTCACTTCCAAAAGTTAACTCATAAGAGGAGGACTACCCTAATCCTTATAAGGAGTATTCAGGCTTTAGTCCTAGTCAACGTGGGACATCTTAACACACTCTCCTCACATCCAGGACTGGATATATGCACGGGTGACCCAATAGGACTGGACATTTGTGGTTAGCCTAACATTCAAATTGGATAGGCTCTGATACCATGTTAAGAAACTTGGGTATAACTAAGTCACAAAAGCTAGTTCATTAGAGGAGGACTTACAAGGAGTATTTTGACTCTAGTTCTAACCAATGTGGGACATCTTAACAAGTTAAAATCAACTTATATTTTTGTATTTTTTTAGAAGACCTCTAATTGAACTTTTTAAAATTTGAGAAGATATTATTTCTAATTTATGGGAAAAGTTTTATTCATTTGTTATATTGATTTTTTTCTCTTATAAGGACTTCTCTAAAAATTTACCTAAATTGGGCCTTAATCTCATATATCATTGAGTGATGAATTATGTTTTGATTCTAAATATGATATACAAGAGAACTCCTACACAGAAGAAAGAACTTGGTCTTCCCAAAAGAATTGAAGTCTTAGTGTTGAATATAATAAATATTCAAAATTGAGCAACAAAGAAGGATACTTTTCATATAATCAATTTGATTTTGTAGCCCAGGGATACAAATCGTATGGCAGAATTGTTTTATCATTTGAATCGTTGCTGGAATCGCTTGAATCGTATGTATCAGGCTGAATCGCGAATCTAGATGGCAGCACACGATTCCTTTGCAAACCGGGTCATGCTCGAATTGGAATAGTGCGGTGCGGCCGTTCGCCGCCACATTGCGGGGCGTTTGGCACGTCGCAGCAGGTGCGGGTGTTCGCAGCCAAAAGAGAGAGACGTTCCCGTTGCTTCACATTGCGATGGCATGATTTGTGGGAAAGCAAGAAACCCTATTCTATTTTTTATAAAATGCACCGTTTGGATTATTTTTTAAGGGTATAAAGGTCATTTAACCTTTATAAAACGTGTGTTAATTTCATCTTCCCCACACACTCCTCTCTCCGCGAGAAGTCTGACCTCTGTGTAGCGGTTTCTCCCATTCTCACCGGCGCACCAATTCCATTTTGCTGGAAAAATCAGCTAGTCCAGAGGCTCACCTGCTCATTTTGCTGGAGAAATATTAAATAATATTTTCCTCTCCTCTCAGCCGTATCCTCTGTTTTTCTGTTCACCGGAAAAATCAAATTTTCCAGCATTTGTTCACTGCATCCCTATTCAAGATTTCTGGTATTCAAGATTTTTGGTGGCCCCCCTCTGCCATTGCAACGGTTCCTATTTTTTATTTGTTTTCTCCTCCTCTTTTTGTTGGCTACATATTATTTGACTTCAAAATGTTAATATATTAGATGTTTTGATGTTTGTTTACATTACAATACTCTTATATTTATATTTTTTATGTTTTAAGATAGGATTTGATTCACAATTTAAAAAATAGGTCTTACAATTCACAACTTGAATCCCGATTCAACTACCTTGTTCTGAACCATTATATTGCATAAAAAAATTCTTATGTGTTGTGGTTCATGTCCTATTTTTGATGTACTGGTGTGTCATTCTAGAATGCTGTTCTTGGGCATAGCTTGAACATTGCTTTGTGCCATAGGATTATCTTTACCTGTAATGGGTTTGGATTTGTCTGCAATCCAAATTGAATCAAATGAAAGACATTTCTATGGTTCTGTGAATTTATGTTAAAATTTGTTTAGAAGACTAATGTCTTGTGGTTATGCAATTTGTAGTACTTTAAGGGGGAATTATGTTATGTATTAAGTGGACAAAATTAACATAGAAAAGAACTCTGCCTAGTTATGAAATCTAGAATTTCTTTGGTATGAAATTGTGTGGTACTGCTAGGAACAGAATGATATAAAAGGGGATAGTATTATTCATGAAACCAAAGATAGTGAGCCTGAGCTCTTAGTATCTTACAAGTGAAAAACCAACGCCAAGGCTCCCCAGAGAATTGAGTAGAGTATGTTTGATTTCCATTTTGAAAACAGTGTTTAGTTTTTAAAAATAAAACTAAGTACAAATTTGTATTACATTTTATTTTTAAAAACTAAAACTGCTTCTAAAATGGAAATCAAATATGCTCTTAGTATTCTCTGTCCAACAACAACCTGAAAACAATTCATATCTCTCTCCTTTCTCTCCCTCCTCCTATAAGCATAATGTATGGCATAACAAATTGGCCAGCTCAGCAACATGTAACTAACTGTCATCCCCAACACACTTTATCTTATGTGTGTACACTTTCCATATTTTGGGCTTCCCATCAATAGAGCCCACCAGCTGATCCAAGTCTTGTTCTAGTTCATGATCCACATTACTCATATTTGGTACTATACTCCCAGTTTGGGTAAACTTCTAGAGAAGTTCTTATAGAAGCAAAAAATAAGTATAAAAAAATGAATAAAACTTCTTTCATAAGTTAGAAACAACTTATCTCTTCAAATATGAGAAGTTTTCTATTGACTTGGTCAATAGTAAGTCTATGGAAGAATTTTTTGCACAATTAGGTAGTGTTAGCACTCTTATCAACTTAAAGACTTTCCTATAATACCGAAATGCATATCAAATAAAACTAAAGACCAAATAAGAATCAAAACTGATACAAAACTGGTACCAATTATGCACAAACAAGTGGCTGAAGCTGCTGAACAATAACAAAACAGAAATTGATATGTATATTGAAAATTAAATAAAAGGAATTGCAGTGGAAAAGAATTCCAACTGCCAGAGAAAAACACCTAAAGAGGGCTATGACTCTCCATCCACAACAAACTAAATGATTATTTTACGAAAAGATACCTCCTCTTCCTGTACTCCCCCTATTTGACACCCAAAACGTGCAAGCATGTAACAACCCACTAACCTCCACCTTCTCTCTGTGTCAACTCATTGCCACATTCCTTTTTTAACCCTTTATCTTTTATTATTCCTAGTATAGACCTTCCACACCTTTGGTCCATGTGACATTTGGTGAATTAGCTGTCCTTTTGGGCCTGCCTCCGCATTCTGGACTCTATCAAAAAGAACTTAAAAACTGAACGGAAATGCCATCCTTGATGAGGGTCTGGGAAAGCCAGCAAAGAAGACTGAAAATAAGCGAACTAAACATAAATCAATATTATACTTGGACCTGAAAAACACTAATATAGTTGATATGAGAATCTCAGTTTCATAATTCTGTTATCAATTTTAATTGATGTTTGAGAATTCCTTTGTTCTTTGCTTCTCATGTTTTCATGATTATATTTTGTCATGTTTTAGATTATAATGATTTGTGTCATGTTTGTGATGTTATTAGTTTATTTTACTTGTATTTTTTACCCTTTAGTTTGCTAAATGCTTGATTTGCTTGATGTCAACTAATGCCTTTGGTTTATTCTTATTTTTAACTACTGTTTGCAGGATTTGAAGTGCTTTGTCTTCTCTCTAATTTCACTTCACTTCAAGATCAAGCCTATATAAGATGTAGACGTTTGCAGTGTTGTGTATTCATCCTGTCGGGGAATGTCTACATGTTTAACTAAGTATCCGTTTTTGCTAATGGAGTTGGACATCTGATAGAGTGACAGCATTACACTCGTGAATATGATTTGGTTCTGTATTGGTGGTTACATGAATTAGGAAACTTAAGATTTGAGTGGATGACTCTTGTACCAAAATGTTGGCTGGATTGGTAGTTCAAGGGTGGGGTGGATTGGTTTTTATGCATGGTTTAGTTATTCCCTCTTTTCCCCCTTGCTTCCATGATGGAGCATCTAAAATGTTACATTGGGAGTTGCTTACTGTGTGTATGAAATGCGTACGTGCAAGAATTTATCAGGATTTCCTTAACCATCAAGAGTGTTTGCAGCAAGTACTGATGATATCTTCTACGTTTAGTCCATGGTTGCTAATCTAGAGCAATAATCCATTGTTTTTTGAATACGCACCTTGTCGTTGAAAAAAAAAAAAAAGGAATAAGCACTTTGTTTCTCCATTCTGGTTTTGCCATTTTGAGATTAAGTGATTCACTTTGCACGTCCTATGGTGTAAAAAAATTGTCACTTGTACAAATAAACAAATATTATTAACACACTTTTATTTAAATATCGTTTTTTTACAAATTACTATAACACAATTTGAAGTGATTATCTCAGTTGGAGAACCATATCATACTTCTCAACAGTGTTGTATTATATTGTTTAATTTAGGCAACTCATTGATTAGAAATACAAACAAGTGATTGATTCAATTTTATAACTGATTAATTGTGTGCAATCCTTTATATTATACTATTTTCAACATTAATTTTACACTATTTGAAGATGTTATAGATGCTCAGAATAATGTGGTGGCTGATTAAGAAACAGCTGGAGAAAAGAGTTTTTGTCTGGGCTAGGACCATTCTATCGTTTTTTTATTTTTGGTGTATCTGGGCCAGGAACCTGTTTGACCCTTCGTTTCAGGCAAAAAAGTTGCCCAATGTCCACCTTGTCAGCTCCGATGGCTTGGTTCGTTTTCTTTGAGAATTGGCTCTACATCAAACTCCAAATCACTGTTTCAAATGCAACATGCATTAGTGAGAAAGGAAAGGAACACTGTAGATTTTGTTACCTAATGTATATCCTCATAGAGTGATGTAATGGTCGCGAAAGGAGAACCAATATCAAAGGAAGAAGAACATCAAGTTAAAGTTGAAAATGGTGATGACAAAAATAAGGAAACTTAGATTTCATCTCATCCAACGTTAAAACTACATGCACATGCCTCATCAGCATTGAGAAATATTTTCAACAAGAATATATGAGCTAATGCATTATTGTCGCAACCGAGGTCACGATAGGACGACAACCGCGTAAAGAAAATGAAGAAATGTAAAAAAAGGTTAGAATTATTTTTTTTAAAAAAAAATTGATGATAGGAAGTTACCACCAAAATTTATTAAAGAAAATATTAAAAAATTTTAAAAAAATCTTAGAAATTAAATTTGGACTTGAAAGTCATTTATGTGTAAAGAATATATTAACATTCTACGACGTCCACCGATTAAAACGGTTATTTTTTAATTAATTATGTAAAAATTATTTTAACTTTCACTCTAAAAGAAAACAACTAATATTTTTTACTATTTTTATTATTATTTTTTAGATTTATTTCAAATTTTTACAATTTTTCCAAGATTTTAATTTTATTTTTTAAAATAGAAATACATAATAAAAAAATTATTTGAATTAAAGGAATGAGTTATTTATAAAAATTATATTCTTGTTTTATTTTCATATTTAATAAATTTAAATAAAATATGACATAATTTTTTTTATTTTCTTAAAGTAAAAATTTGTTTAAATATTTTCTATTTTTAAATAAAGAACTAAAAAATTTAATTTGAATTGGGAAAGTGGATTATTTATAAAATATTATTTTTTTATTTTCATATTAAATAAATTTGAGCAAAATTCAACTTTATTTTTTATTTTTTTAAGTAAATTATTTTATATTTTTTTAAAATAAAGAAACATAGTTAAAGAAAAAATAAATAATTTGAATTGAGAGAGAGAATACAAAATGTTATTGCCTTCTTTTTTTTTATATTAAAGAAAAATAATTTTTAAATATTTTATCTTGATATTTTATTTATTTATCCTTTTTTTTTAAATGAACACGACAATTTCATTTTTTTAGAAATATTTTAAATTAATTTTAGTTTAAATTTTTTTAAAAATACTTTAGACCTGAAAAAAAATTAAAAATTTTCTAAACTTGACGGTTCAGGTTCCTGCTCCTATATATCTTCTGTATGCAACGAAAAAATTAAAGTTGTCACGTAGTTCTTTTTTTAAAATTGAGTTTTGGATAAGTTTCAAAGATTTTTTTCCTTTTAAAAAAAAAAACTTAATTTTTCTTTATTATTGTTTTTAGTAAATCCACTCTTACACAGTATTCAAGTTAGCACACATCTATTAAATAAACTCTTACGATCCAAGCAACTTTGAAGATGCATCCTCCACTCTATCAAAATCGCTTGGCTGTTGCATGGATTCAAAAGACTCCCAATTTTTTAAAATAATAAAAAATTGATGTACCTTTTAATATGAAATTTTTGCACGCAAAAAAGAAACAAATAAGAGACATATAGAATAAATAAATAAATACAAAAGCAAACAAAAAATGATGAAGAAATAACTCTTATTTGATTTAAGAATTAAGTTTATTTTTTTTTAGGTTAGGATTTACAAAGAAATTAGGATTTTTAGAATTTATAAAAAAAAAGAGTTTTTAAGATTTAGAAAAATTAAATTTTTATAATTTGCAAAATTGTTAGGGTTGAAAAAAAATAGTTTATTTTAGAGCTTGCAAAAAACTGAATTATTTTGGGGTAAAAAAAATATTATTTTTAGGGTTTGCAAAAAAATTTAGAGTTAGAAAAAATTAGTTTTTTTTAGGGTTGCAAAAAAAGGAATACTTGGAGTTAAAAAAAGAAATTTTCATGGATTTGGATTTTATTTTTTTTAGGGTTTGACTGAAGGAGAAGAAATTTAGGGTTATAAAAATGATTAGAATTTATAGAAATTTTTTTAAAAAAAATTATTAAATTTTCTCTTTTCATTCATTTATTTATGTATTACACTTGCAAAAAGTGTTAGATCATGAAGGAGAAGAGAATAATGTACAAAATAAATAAACAAAGAAGGAGAATCTTTATTAGATGAAGGGAGGATGGAAAATGAACAAAAGGAGAATCATTACAGATAAAGGGATGATGAGAAACAAATTAAGGAATAAAAATGAGAACCTTTACTTGATGAAAATTTTTCTTTTTTCTCGTATGGTTGAATTTTTCCTTCGATTTATTCTCTGTAATCAACCTTAAGATGTGCTTTAGGATTTTTGGCACTGTCAGATAACTTTCTTTGATCCCATCTTCACCTTTTGCTCTTTGTTTCCTGAGATTTCTAGAACTCTCTCTCAAGGAGGTTTTCGGTCTCTTTTTTTTTTTTTTCTCTCTCAGAGAGGTCTCGATTCTTTCTTTTTTGTTTCCATATTCAAAAGTCGTCCACTCTCTAAGAACTTAAGCTTCCTATTTATAGGCATTTTTAAAAATCCTAGATCCTAATTATTTATTTATTTATTTAAATAAAAACTTCCTTATTTTATGATGACTAGTAATCAATTTTTTTTTCTTTGTCATCCATTCATCTAAAAATCTACAAACTACTTTGATCATTTCTAAATCAGACTTTAAATTTAAAAATTAAAAATTTGAATTTGAATTTTAAATTAGCTCTTATCTATTTTCTTAACCTCTTACAAAATCAAATTATTATATTTTAATTTTTTATTTTGAAATTTATTTTTGAAAGAGATCCGGATAAAATTGGATATTTATAGTTGTCCCTCTTTAATCATTTTTTACTAAATAATATGAATAATAAATTTTTTCATATTATTATAGTAAGAAATGGGTAAAGAAGTCAATCAATTTTATTCGTGGTCCTGTGTAACACAAGCATTGTACACGAGTCAAATTTTGTGAAAATATAAATGTGCCAGTCAGATTCTGGACTTTGAAAAAAATATAAAGGTGTCAATCAGATTCTGGACTTTTGGGAAAGTTTAAAGGTGCAAGTCAATTTTTGGATTTTTGATGAAGTAAAGGTGTCAGTCAGGTTCTGTACTTTTGTTGAAAGTAAATGTGTTAGTCAGGTTCTGGACTTTTGATAAAAGTAAATGTGTCAGTTAGGTTATGGACTTTGATGAAAATGGATGTGTCAGTCAGGTTCTGAACTTTGATGAAAGTAACTGTGCCAGTCAGGTTCTGGACTTTGATAAAAGTGGATATGCCAGTCAGATTCTAGACTTTTGATGAAAGTGGATGTGCCAGTTAGGCTCTAGACTTTAATAAAAAGGGATGTGTTAGTTAGGTTCTGGACTTTAATAAAAGTGAATGTGCCACTCAGATTCTGGTCTTTTGATGAAAGTAAAGGTGCCAATTAAATTTTAGACTTTTGATGAAAATATAGTCAGGCTTTGTACTTTGATGAAAGTAAAATGTCAGTCAAGCTCTAGACTTTTGATGAAAATAAAAGTGCCAATTAGGCTTTGGACTTTTGTGAAAGTAAAGGTGTCAGTTAGGCTCTAAACTTTGATGAAAGTAAAGGTGTCAGTCAGGTTCTAAACTTTTGATGAAATTAAATGTGTCAGTCAAGATCTAGACTTTTGATAAAAGTGAACGTGTCAATAAGATTTCAAGTTTTAATACAAAAGTACCAGTTAATGATTGGGCTTTCCAGAAAGAGGTCAGTCAAATCTCAATTTTTGGTATAAGGAAATGCATGAGAGCTTTGGAAAGGGAGTAGGAACAAGGTTTCATGGGGCACGCTAGGCATAAGAGCGTATGAAACGAATAAGTGACCTACAAATGAAACATATATGAGGCTCATATGATGAGTCAAACATGCATGACTATAAGTTAATAGAACATAGGCATGTGAGATAACGGGAAGCTTCGCAGGATCCAACTAGAATGAAAGTGAAGATTTATGAGATATAAGAGGCATGAGTGGTTAAATGAGCACATGAGTCTTTACGAAAAATTGGTATTTGTGCCTCTGAAATGTGAAGCATGAGACTTGTGAGATGTAACAAGCACAACATTCTTTGATGTATAAAATACACAAAGCTTATGAATAAGCACATGTGTTGGCTTAGACCTCAAGGATGTATAAACATGGGTACTTGTAAGATGGATAGGCACTGTAGCTTTTACAATTAGCTAACACAAAAGCCTATAGGTGAAATAGGCATTAGGCCTAAAATTAAAATAGGCGTTAAGACCTTGAAGATGAAGCGCGCGTAGAGACTTATGAGATAAAC